CTGCTCCTATGATGCTGCTTGGCCTGCTGTGTTCATCCAGCCCTGCACCTTGTTGTCTCGGATTCTCCAGCATCTGCAGTTCCTACTATCTCTGAATTTCTTAAGCCTTTGCCAAGATCTTCACTGAGGTCTTGGCTGCTGTTAGATTTAACTCCAGAAACATGCCTTTGCACTAGTATCTCTTAATTCCTTTGACTAATTAAAATCTATCAATATTAGATTTAAATGAATAATTGATAGAGCGACAGTTGCCTTTTGTGTTTGAAAGTTCTGAAATTCTACCTCCGTGTGTGTGTAAACCTGTTAAAAATATAAACTCGGGACCATTTCTTAATGTTGCCGTGATGTATGTAATTGTACTACATAATGACAGCAGGTCAACAGACAGCATCTGTCTGACCTTCTGTGCTCCTCCAGCTCCACATTTGACTGATTCTGACTTCCAGCATCTGCAGTACTTTCTATCTCCTAGTCATAGTTAGTTAATCTAGTTAACAAGGTGTAGAGCTGGATGAACACAGCAGGCCAAGCAGCATCAGAGGAGCAGGAAGGCTGACGTTTCAGGCCTAGACCTTTCTTCAGAAATGGGGGAGGGGAAGGCGGTTCTGAAATAAATAGGGAGAGAGGGGGAGACGGATAGAAGATGGATAGAGGAGAAGATAGGTGGAGAGGAGACAGACGGGTCAAAGAGGCGGGGATGGAGCCAGTAAGGGTGTGCCCCACCGAAGTTATCTCCAACTATCTCGACTCCATTTTCTCCCCCTTGGTCCAGGAACTCCCTACCTACGTCCGTGACACCACCCACATCCTCCACCTCCTCCAGAACTTCCAATTCCCCGGTCCCCAACACCTCATCATTCCCATGGACGTCCAGTCCGATTACACCTGCATTCCCCATACAGATGGCCTAAAGGCCCTCTGTTTCTTCCTGTCCCTCAGGCCCGACCAGTCCCCCTCCACTGACACCCTCATCCGCTTAGCCGAACTCATCCTCACCCTCAGCAACTTCTCTTTCAATTCCTCCCACTTCCTACAGACAAAGGGGGTAGCCATGGGTACCCGCATGGGCCCAAGCTACGCCTGCCTCTTTGTAGGTTACGTGGAACAATCCCTCTTCCGTAGCTACACTGGCCCTAAACCCCACCTCTTCCTCTGTTACATTGATGACTGTATCGGCGCCGCCTCGTGCTCCCACGAGGAGCTTGAACAGTTCATCCACTTCACCAACACCTTCCACCCCAACCTTAAGTTCACCTGGACCATCTGTAATACCTCTCTCTCCTTCCTGGACCTCTCTGTCTCCATCTCCGGCAACTACCTAGAAACCGATATCCATTTCAAGCCCACCGACTCCCACAGCTACCTAGAATACACCTCCTCCCACCCACCTTCCTGCAAAAATGCCATCCCCTATTCCCAATTCCTTCACCTCCACCGCATCTGCTCCCAGGATGAGGCATTCCACTCCCGTACATCTCAGATGTCCTCATTTTTCAAGGACCGCAACTTCTCCCCCTCAGTGGTCGAGACGCTCTCAACTGTGTCTCCCGCATTTCCTGCAACTCATCCCTCACACCCCCTCCCCGCAATAACAACCAAAACAGAATCCCCCTCGTCCTCACGTACCACCCCACCAACCTTCGGATCCAACGCATCATCCTCCAACACTTCCACCATCTGCAATCTGATCCCACCACCAAAGACATTTTTCCCTCCCACCCTTATCTGCTTTCTGGAGGGGCCACTCTCTCCGTGACTCCCTTGTCCGCTCCACACTCCCCTCCAGCCCCACCACACCCAGTACATTTCCCTGCAACCGCAGGAAGTGCTACACCTGCCCCTACACCTCCTCCCTCACCCCCATCCCAGTCCCCAAGAAGACTTTCCACATCAAGCAGATGTTCACCTGCACATCTGCCAATGTGGTATACTGCATCCGCTGTTCCCGTTGTGGCCTCCTCTACATTGGGGAAACCAAGCGGAGGCTGGAGGACCGCTTTGCAGAACACCTACGCTCGGTTCGCACTAAACAGCTGCACCTCCCAGTCACGAACCATTTCAACTGCCCCTCGCATTCCTCAGACAACATGTCCATCCTGGGCCTCCTGCAGTGCCACAACGATGCCACCCGAAGGTTGCAGGAACAGCAACTCATATTCCGCTTGGGAACCCTGCAGCCCAATGCTATCAATGTGGACTTCACAAGCTTCAAAATCTCCCCTCCCCCTACCGCATCCCAAAACCAGCCCAGCTCGTCCCCGCCTCCCTAACCTGTTCTTCCTCCCACCTATCCCCTCCTCCCACCTCAAGCCCCACCCCCATCTCCTACCTACTAACCTCATCCCGCCCCCTTGACCTGTCTGTCCTCCCAGGACTGACCTATCTCCTCCCTAACTCCCCACCTACACACACCTTTACTGGCTCCATCCCTGCCTCTTTGACCTGTCTGTCTCCTCACCACCTATCTTCTCCTCTATCCATCTTCTATCCAACTCCCCCTCTCTCCCTATTTATTTCAGAACCGCCTTCCCCTCCCCCATTTCTGAAGAAGGGTCTAGGCCCAAAACGTCAGCCTTCCTGCTCCTCTGATGCTGCTTGGCCTGCTGTGTTCATCCAGCTCTGCACCTTGTTATCTCAGATTCTCCAGCATCTGCAGTTCCTACTATCTCTAGTTAATCTAGTTGTTGGTTTTGTGGCTCGATAATGGTCATTCTTTTAAAGACAAAATGGAAATTTGTTATGGATTAAGGACATTGCTAGACCATGAATCCTAGGTTGCACTTCTAAACTGGATCTTGATCTCAGGATCATGTGACTGAGTGTTGCCAGTTGATCCAAATGGCTGTGATGGTGAAAGTCCATATCAGAGGACACTGCAGATTCTCTGAAAGATTATTCTCAACATGTCTCTTCCAGAAATGAATAAAATGTTTGACCTTGACTTACCGGCCTAAAGTTGGCGAGAGTTCTTTCAGGTCATTCAAAGTTGGTTGGACATTAAGCAGCTTCTTGTAGAGAGCCAATGGAAAGTGAAAATCTGCCACAAAGCCATGGTATAGAGCAAGCCAGCAGAGGATTCCCACCAAGTGAAAGACATCAATGATTTCAGGGTCCTGTGTAGAAAACGTTGATGATGTACCAAGTGTTGACACAGACTGGTATTACTGAACTACACTGGAGGAGACTAGTTTGGTCCTCATGCTTACTCTGCCATTCAGTGGGATCCTGGCTGACCTATATCTTAGCTCCACTAACACGCCTTAATTCCATATCCCTGTTATAACTGCAGCAGGTGGTGAAGGAACCAACAGCAGGGAGAAGCTTACTTGACCTCATCCTCACTGATCTATAAGCCACAGATGCATCTGTCCATGCGGCTGTTGGTTGGAGTAACCACTGCACAGTCCTTGAGGAGATGATGTCCCGCCTCCACTTTGAGAAGACCCTCCATTGTTTTGCATGGTACTATCACTGTGCTAAATGGGACAGTCTTTGAACAGAACTAACAATCAAGACTGGGCATCTATGAGAGAAAGTGTGGGCTATCAGCATCAGCAGAATTGTACTCCAGCACAATCTTCAACCTCATGGCCTGGCATAGCCTCACTCAACCATTACCATCAAGCCAGGGGATCAAACCCAGTTCAATGGAGTGTGCAGGAGGGCATGCCAGGAGCAGCACCAGGCATACCTGACGATGAGGTGTCAACCTGGTGAAGCCACCAAACAGGAGTACTTGCACACCAAACAGCATAAGCATCAAGTGATAGACAGAGCTAAGCGATCCCACAACCAACGGATCAGATCTAAGCTCTGCAGTCCTGCCACATCCAGTTGTGAATGGTGGTGGATGATTAAACAACTCACTGGAGGAGGAGTCTCCACAAATATCCCCATCCTCAATGATGGAAGGGCCCAGCACATCAGTGCAAAAGATAAGGCTGAAGCATTTGCAGCAATCTTCAGCCAGAAGTGGCAAGCGAGATGATCCATCTTGGCCTCCTCCAGTGGTCCCCAGCTTTACAGATACCAGTCTTCAGCCAATTCGATTCACTCCACGTGATATCAAGAAATAGTTGGAGACACTGGATACTGCAAAGGCTACAGGCCCTGACAACATTCCGGCAATAGTACTGAAGACTTGTGCTCCAGAACTTGCCGCTCCCCTAGCCAAGCTGTTCCAGTACAGTTACAACACTGGTATCTACCAGACAATGTGGAAAATTGCCCAGGTATGTCCCATACATAAAAAGCAGGACAAATCCAACCCAGCCAATTACCGCCCCGTCAGTGTCCTCTCAATCATCAGTAAAGTGATGGAAGGTGTCAGTAACAGCACTATCAAGCAGCACCTGCTCAGCAATAACCTGCTCAGTGACACCCAGTTTGGGTTCCGCCAGGGCCACGCAACTCCTGACCCCATTACAATCTTGGTTCAAACATGGACACAAGAGCTGAATTCCAGTAATTACCATTGACATTGAAGCATCATTTGACTAAGTGCGGCATCAAAGAGCCCTCGCAAAACTGGAATCAATGGGTATCGGGGGCAAACTGTCTGATGGTTGGAGTCATACCTGACACATAGGAAAATGGTCGTGGTTGTGGGAGGTCAATCAGCTCAGCTCCAGGACATCTCTGCAGGAGTTCCTCAGGTTAGTGTCCTAGACCCAACCAATTTCAGCAGCCTCATCCATGACCTTCCCTCCATCATAAGGTCAGAAGTGGGGATGTTCACCGATGATTGCACAATGTTCAGCACCATTCGTGACTCCTCAGATATTAAAACAGTCCATGTTGATATGCATTGAGGCCTGAACAATATACAGTTTTGAGCTGGCAAGAGCGAAAAAATGGCTCCCTCCAACATTTGTGAATTTAAACATTTGCCCTTGATATTGCATGGCATTATAATTGCTGAAATCCCCATTATCATTATACTGGGAGTTACCATTGACCAGAAGCTGAACCAGACCAGCCACATAAAAGATGTGTTACAAGAACAAGTCAGAGGCTAGGAATCCTGCAGCACTTCACTGTGACTGCAGTAACTCACCTCCTGACCCCCCAAACCCTGTCCACCATCTACAAGGCACAAGTCAGGAGTGTGATGGAATACTCCCCACTTGCCCGGATGAATGAAGCCCCAACAACACTCAAGAAGCTTGACACCATCCAGGACAAAGCAGCCGCTTGATTGGCATTACATCCATAAACAATCCACTCCCTCAATGCTCAGTAACATCAGTGTGTGCTAACTATAAGATGCGCTGCAGAAAGTCACGAAGGATCCTTAGGCAACAAACAAACACTGAAATTTCTGGAGAGACTCAGGTCTGGCAGCATCTGTGGAGATTTTTCTCAAAGGGTCCCTGGACTTGAAACATCTCTGTTCACAGATGCTGCCAGACCTGCTGAGTTCCTCCAGCAGTTTGTTTTTCTTTGTTTCAGATCTCCAGTGTTCGCAGTTCTTGGTTTATTTTTTAATGTTGGATGACCGTGCAAAGACCAATCTCAGGGTGTCTAGGGCCTTACGCAAGCCCTCACTGAAGGAAAAGGTTTCTCTGCAGAAAATGCCATGAGTCTGGTTAGCTGTGGGTGGGAGTGTCAGCTCAGCCTGACCTGTGTGATCCTTCCTCCGACCTTCACAAGGACATGGCTGCAGAAGACCCCAGTCAGAAGGACCATGTCTTGAATTGTCACATATGATAAATTAGTGTGTGAGTGAGCATTGTTCCTGCTCTTCAGAGCCTTGCTCCCTCAGTTAAGAGGAAGTATCAGGAGATACAGTGTTACTGGGAGCACAAGCCTCTGTGCTGCAGAGTGGGAGAAGTTGTGTTTTAGTTTTTTTTCCCTATTCATCCATGGGATGCAGGTAACGCTAGCTGGGCCAGCATTTATTGCCCGTCCCTAGTTGCCCTCAAGAAGGTGGTGTCTTCTTGAACTGCTGCATCCATGCACAATGCCCCAGGAAAGGAATTCCAGGATTTTGGCCCAGTGACTGTGAAGGAACAGCAATATATTTCCGAGTCAGGATGGTGAATGGCTTGGAGGTGAACTTGCAGGTTCCACTGTACCTACTGTTCTCCACCTTCTACATGGCAGAAGTTATGAGTTTGGACGTTGCTGTCACAGTAACCTTGGTGAATTCCTACAGTGCATACTGCTGTTACTGAGCATCGGTGGTGGAGGGAGTGGATGTTTGTGGATGTGGTGCCAATCAAGCGGCTGCTTTGTCCTAGATGGTGTCAAGCATGAGTATTGTTGGAGCTGCACTCATCCAGGCAAGTGGGGAGTATTCCATCACACTCCTAACTTGTGCCTTGTCGATAGTGGCCATGCTTTTGGGAGATAGGATGTGAGCTACTCACTACAGTATTCCTAGCCTCTGACCTATAGTTATAGCCACAGTTTTTATATGGCTAGTCCAGCTCAGATTCTGGACAATAGTGACACCCAATATGTTGATAGGCAGGGATTCAGTGACAATCATGCCATTGAATATCAAGGAGAAAGAGTTAGATTCTGTCCTGTTGGCAGTTGTCACTTTCTGGTATTTGTATGACACAAATGTTCATTGACATTTATCAGCTGAAGCCTGGACAATAGCTAGCTCTTGCTGTGTGCAGGCACAGACAGCTTCCATATCTGAAGAATTATGAGTAAAACTGAACACTGTGCAATCATCAGCGAGCATTCCATTTTTGACTTTGTGATGGGAGGAAGGTCATTAATAAAGCAGCTAAAGGTGGTTGGGTTTAGGACACTACGCTGAACATCTGTAATGCTGCTGAAACGATTAACCTTCAACAAACACAACCATCATCCTTTATGTCAGGATTCCTATGGATGAAGAGTTCTCCCTTTGATTCCTGCATTCATTTCATTTTAGCTAGGACTCATTGATGCCACACTTAATCAAAGATCAAATCAAGAAAATTACAAGTGCCAGGGAAGTGGTACTGAGTAAATTGTTGGAACTGCAAATTGACAAGTCCCCAGGTCCTGATGGATTACATCACAAGGTCTTAAAAGAAGTAGTCAATTAAATAGGTGATATGTTGTTTTTAATGTTCCAAAACTCATTAGGTTCAGGAAAGTTTCCTTTATATTGGCAAATAGCTAATGTAACTCTTTTGTTTTAAATAGAGGGAGGTAGAAAGCAGAAAATTACAGGCCAATTAGTTTAACATTTGTTATGGGAATATGTTAGAAGTTATTATTAAAGATGTTATACCAGGGCACTTGGAAAAGTCCAGGCTAATCAGGTGGAGCCAATACAGTTTTGTCAAAGGAAAATCATGTTTAACTAACTTATTGGACTTCTTTGAAGAAATAACTTGTGCTGTCGGTGAATGTACTGTACTTAGATTTCCAGAAAGTATTTGATAAGGTGCCACTTCAAAGTTTATTGTGGAAAATAAAAGTTGACGGTGTAGAGGATAACATATTGACATGGATAGAAGATTGGCTGGTTAACAGGAAGCGGAGAGTAGGAATAAATGGGTCTTTCTCAGATTGGCAAGATGTCATGAGTGGTGTACCACAGGGGTTGGTGCAAGTTTCAACTCTTTCCAATTTATATCAATGATTTGGATGAATGGACCAGCGGTATGCTTGCTAAATTTGCTGATGACACAAAGATAAGTAAGAAAGTGAGTTGTGAAGAGAATGTAAGGAACTTACACAGACTGTAGATAGGTTAAGTGAGTGGGCAAAGATCTGGCAAATGGTGTACAATGTGGGAAAGTGTGAAATTGTCTATTTTAGCAGAAAGATAAAGAAAATGTATTGTCTAAATGGTGGGGGGTTGCAGAGCTCTGAAATGCAGAGAAATCTGGGTGTCCGTCACATAAAACACAGAAGGTTAGTCTGCAGGGGAACAGCAAGTAATCAGGAAAGCTAATAGAATGCAATGTTTAATTGCAAGGGAAATTGAAGCATGGGGAGGTTTTGCTTCAATTTGCAGGGCATTGGTAAGAGTACATTTGGAGTACTGTATATTGCTGCAGTTGGTTATCTCAGTTGACTGAATGACTAGTTTGTGATACAGAGAGGTACCAACAGTGAGGGTTCAATTCCTGCACTGGCTGAGATCACCTTCCCTGAGGTATTGTAATCCTCAGGTTAACCCAAAACCAGTTGTTTCTCTCTGATGAGACAGTAGTCCTCTGGGACTATAGTGCCTTTTATTTACTGCATGCTGTACTTATGGGTGGATGCTAACACATTGGAAGCAGTTTGGGGAAGGTTTACTTGACAGATATGTTCTGAAGGAAGATCACTAGACCTGGAAAGTTAACTCTGATGTTTCTCCACAGATCCTGCCAGACATGCTGAGTTTTTCCTGCAATTTCTATTTTTGTTTACTTGACCAATACCCAACATGAGCAGCTTGCCTTATGAGGAAAGCCTGGTCAGCCCAGACCTGTATCCTGTCTTTGTGGACAGACATAGCTGGGCAAATTTTGGCATTTTTGGTTAGGTTTCACTCTTGTATCTGTGTAGGAATGCCTTGGGTAAAGTTATAGTGAGTTCTAGTGAACTAGTCTTCAGCTGGAATGTTGCCTGATGCCATAACTTCCAGCACCTTCAGCCTTGACCTTACATTGGGTGAACCTAGTCGGCTGAAAACTGGCACTTGTGATGTTGGGGACCTCAGGAATATCCACTTAGCACTTCTGGCAGAAACTTCACAGTGAGTTCCATATTCTCATCATTTGTGAGATTGAACCTCGTCACTCCAAGATAAAGAGTATTAATGTCACTGGCATTTGACCATGTTATATGGGTGCACAATATATTGACTGGACTAGAGGTCTAATACAAGGGATTGAAATATTTAAGTCAGCAAAGCATGTATCTATAAATAGCAAAAACAGCGATGGATTTTTTTTTCAGAAGTAGTATATTCTGAAAGAATGCCACTGTTAAAACTAACTCTATCGTTTAAAGAGTTGCACTAGTGATAATTATGAACTCATAATTAAATATGTAGCATTATCAACTATGACAGAAAGGTTTTTGTAATCTGATCGTGGGAATTGGTGTCGCTAGCCAGGCCAGCAGTTATTGCTTTTCTAATTGCCCAGAGGACAGTTAAGAGTCAGTCACATTGCTGTGAGTCTGGAGTCACAAATAGACCAGACTGGGTAAGGACAACAGTTTTCCTTCACTAAAGGACATTATTTTAAAGTCATCCGTGGGATGAGAGTACATTGGCTAGGCCAGCATTTATTGCCTATCCTTAATTTCCCCAGAGGACAGTTCAGAGTCAACCACATTGCTGTGGGTCTGGAGTCACATGTAGGCCAGACCAGGTAAGGATGGCAGTTTCCTTCCCTAAAGGACATTAGTGAATCAGGTGGGTTTTTCCAACAATCAACAATGGATTTGCGGTCATCAATAGACTCTTAATTCCAGATTTTTATTGAATTCAAATTCTACTATCTGTGGCAGGATTTGAACCTTAGTCTCCAGACTCCAAACCTGGGTTTCTGGATTAACAGTCCAGTGATAATATCACAAGGCCATCGCCTCCCTATTAATAGGGTTTTCATGACTAACAGTGGTTACATGGTTGCCTTTAGACTAGCCATTCATTGAACTCAAATTTCACCATCTGCCATGGTGGGATTGTAACGTTAGTCGTACTGCTAGACTAGTACCAACTGTGGATTCAAGTACTACTCGGGAGATTTGAACACAGAATTCAGATTAACACTTCATTGCCATGCTGAAGGACTGCTGCTCTGTCAGAGTTCTATGATTTTACAATTCACGTACCCATTCTGGAAACCAAACAAGCCTGGATTCCTCAAAAGACTTGAATATTTTTGGTTGAGTACACAGCTCCTCGGTAATAATGGAAAAGAACTCCTTTGACACACCACCTTGGTCAATAGCTGGTTCACCCTTAAACGTGACCTGATAGAGTCATAATGAATAGACCAGAATTAAAAGCCTGCAATTTATTTTCTTCATACCCTCCTGTTTTGGTTTGGTTGTATAGAACTTGAGTGTTGCTAAAGAAAACACATTTTGGTGAATTTTTTCATCTTGCTCTCATCAGGATGGCTCACAAGAATTACCAACATAGAAGGAAACCAACCGTTCTGCCCTGTATGAGATGGGAGTGCTGATTTGTTGGCAAGTGGACCTAGATTGGTAGAGCTGTTACCATGGAGAGACACAGTTAAATGATGGCTGACAGTTAATTGTCAGGTTTTTTTATAACCTTTAAACCCGGCAGGTTGACTTTCTTTGGTCAAGGCATTGCTCTGAGAAAAAATGGCTTCAACTATTTTGTTGAAATGGAACAGGTGCAATGTGTGTGTGTTCTTTCTGTATGTAAAGACCAAGACCATGTGAAGGGTGCCTTCAATACATGCATGGTTACCTCCTGCTGATAACCAATTTAGGATTGTCTGTTGTATAAAGGTTGTTTTCTCTTTACATTGGTATCCTTGTGAATTGTCCTGATGCATGTGAGATGAAAAGCTTCAACACAATTTTAAGTAATACTCTTCTAGTTTTCCTCTTTTTAACCCTTTATAATAATATCAACCTTTTATAATTATATCAACAATATCTCTCGGAAAAAATTATCAAGTGACATCTATCACTCAACCACGTAAAGTGATATTAGGAAAGACAACCAAAGGCTTGGTCAAAGATGTACGTTGTCAGGAGCACTTTAAAAGGAAAAAGAGAGAAAAATAGAGGCAGTGAGATTTACAGAAGGAATTCTGGAGCTTAGGGACCAGATAGCTGAATGCACAGCCGCCAATGGAGGAGTGATTAAAAGTGAGACAGTGAAAGAAGCTAGAATTGCTGGAATGTTGAGATCTCAGACAGTTGTAAAGCTGGAAGGGATTACAGAGTTAGGGAGGGATTGGCACAGTACCTTGATAATTGTGGAGATGAACTCTAGTGACACTCCATTTTGTTCAATAACTAATTTACCCTTAAACTTGGTCTAAAATTGTTGTGACAACTATTGTAAATAGACCATAATAAAAGTGCATCATGTAAATTGCTTATATTGTTTCTCTTTAGATTATGGAGTGTTTTGAAAACCAGGATGAGAAGTTTAAAACTGAGGCGTTGCCAAACCAGGGGTTAATGCTGTATAAAAGCACAGGAGTGACAGACAAATGAGATTTGCCACAAGTTAGCAGTGCCTTAGTCAAGCTCTCGGTTATAGAGGGTATGGGGATGGGAAGCTGGGCAGGAGAGTGTCACAACAGCTAACTCCAGGGGTAATTAAAGCACCAATGTTGTGAAATAATAGTGCCTCATTGGACAACTAAATTGAAGAATTAACCAAGTTGGGGAGTGAAATGTCAGGGAGCACCTCTACATTCAGGAGAGCTGCGCACATCAACTTAACAGGCAACAAAGCAGGGAGGTGAAGTGAAAATTAATAGTTTGAGATCCATTATAAAGGGTTAGGCTTATTAAACTGGATCACTTTATTCCTAATGTCTCTAAAGATTATTTTAATCGCAAAACAAAGAGCGAGGGAAAGAAATAAAATTATTTATGCCTTGTTACTTACTCACGAAATCCTTAAAATCTTTGCAGTCCCTGTTCTTATGTAGACAGCAGAGCAACTACCTTATACATATAGCAACATCCAACAAACTGCTATGAGAATGCCAATCATTTCAACAAGCGTTCCTACCTGGAAGAAATCACGAAGTCTAATTTCATCACAGCTTCTTAATTGTGCTAATGTGCTTTGAAGGATCTGTGTTCTGTCGATTTCTAGATGGCATCCAGTGTCAGGGAAATTAAGTAAATTGTTCAATATGCGGCGGCAATTTAAGATATCAACTTCATTAATGAACAGAGGAGAACCACAATAATCATCATAGTCATCATAATCATCATAGTCATCAAATACAAAGTTGACCTGGTCTTGATTTGAAATCTCATCCAAGTTGATGGTTTGAGTGTCAACAAAGGAGGCATCATTGCTTTCATTTGGGACACCAGTGTTCCTGGTAGATTCAATGACCCCAGTGAAGTCACCAACATTCCTCCCAGTCAATGCATCAGTGGTCCCTGTAGAAGCATCAAGATTGTCATTAGGTGCATCAGTGTTTCTGGTAGAGGTACCAGCGATCTCAGCAGGAGCATCAACATTCCCTGTAGAGGTTTCAATATTGTTGTTAGGTGCACCAGTGTTTCCAACAGAGGCATCAATGATCATCTCTGTAGAGACATCAACTATCCTAGCAGAGGCATCAACGTTTGTTATCGATGTATCAATATTGCTATAAGATGGCTCAGTGTACGCAGTAGAGGCATCAGTGATGCTTGTAGAGATATCAACATTGTCATGACAGACATTAGTATTCCCAGTAGAAGCACCAATGTTCCCATTGGACGTTTCGGTGTTCCCAGTGGAAGGACAAATTTCCAGACTAGAATAATTGCTATCCTGAATAAGGCTATCATAGATTGCCTTATAGCCAAAAATAATCTTTTCATCAGTGACTTTTTCTCCCTGGAAGGAATCACAGAAATGTTTTAGAAACTCGCATCACTGGAACTCTAATTACATTCCCTGAAGCAGGATTATGACAACAATTCTTACCCGAATTTTCAGGTGCGAGATCCTTTTGAAAATCTGAATTTTTGTTTCCATATTAAAAATGCAGGAGTAGGGAATTAATTTCAGTAATGATATCTATGCAAAAAAAATGAGGTTGCAATTCAGATTTATGTTTAACAATTTGTATCTATGAATATTAACAACTTTGCTAGATCACAGACTGGTTCTATTATAGAAAGAGAATAAATGTCACAAAAATTGCTGCCATTGCCTTAGTAATTCCTACCTTATCCTTTGTGACAATTAAGTTCGCTTACCCTTGTTTCTAAACACTTATCTTAAAACTTCCCATGGAATAGTATTCTGTTAGCCATATCTGGGTAAAATAACCTGTGCAGGAAATTGGAAAAACCAGGATTGTGACTTTATTCAAGCTTATCCACATCTCCTGGTCTTGATGGTAGGTAAAAGATCTTCCTAAGTGAAATGTTCCATTTCTTGATATGACTTAGCTCCATGTTGTGTTCAACGTAACTAAGTGTCACACTGTATGCCAATGATACATCCCATTGTGTCAAGTCACAGTTTTGTTCTACAAATCTTTGGTTATGCCCTCTTGTGAAAGGGATCTGTTGCCTTTTTGTAATGCAGCAATCTCTTATCATATTTCATTTCCCTGTGATCAAGATCTGTGTTTTAGCCTAACAGCCCTTTCTAGTGCCATTTTATCCAATCAAAGCTAGAGAGAGAAATCATAGGCCCTAGTCCACCCTCTGTTTCCAAGCCCCTTGTTCCTCTCTCCAGCCTTTCAACCCTTGACAGCTTCTGCAGAATCTCTTTATGATGGGTCCAAAGGAAAAAAATGGTATAGCACAGAAAGAGGCCATTCAGCCCATCGAGTCTGCATCAGTTCTTTCAAAGAGAAATCCAATCAGTCTGACCACTGCCCTTTGCCACCCATCTTTTCCTTTTCTTGTTCTCCATGTATTTATGCAATTTCTGTTTGAATACTCATTTGAATCCATGTCCATCTCAATATCAGAAAATAAGTGAATTCCAAATCCTAACCATCCTTTGAATAAAAGTTTTCCCTTGTGTCCCTCTGGTTCTTTTACTAACAAATTTAAATAAAACTAAATCTGGGCCATCTAATTATTGTTCCTGCAGCTACTGGAAACAGTTTCTGTTTATTTCTGTCTAACCATACCTGAATTTATATACCTCCATCAAACCCCCTCAGGCTTCTTGTCTCTTAGGCAATAGCCCCAGCTTCTCTGTAATCCTTCATCTCCTCTGGATGCTTGGCCAACATTCCATTTGCCTTCTTAATTACTTCATGGACCTGCACACTAATGTGTCTTGAATCATGTACAAGAACATCAAGATCCCTCTGTGTTGCGACTTTCTGCAGTTTCTCTCTTTTTGAATACTGTGCTGCTTTATCAAAGTGAACAAACTCATACTTCATTCCGTCTGTCAATTTTTCACCCACTCACTTAACCTGTAGTTATGCCTTTGCAGGCTGTTTCATATCCTCCTCACTATTTGCTTTCTATTTCTCTTTGTATTGTCAGAAAGATTTGTCTACAATACAAATGGTCTCTTCATCCAAGTCATTCTGTGGATTATAAAGGATTGAGGCCCCATTATTGGTCACTGTAGTATTCCACTGGCTGTAGTTTGCCAACTTAAACATGATCTATTTATCCTGACTCTCTGTTTCCTGGTAGTTAGTCATTTCTCTATCCATTGCTAATATATCATCCCCAAACACTTATCGTATGTACTTATCATGGCAAGTTATTATGTGCCTTTTGCATATCCAAACACACTACATCCACTGTTTTCCCTTTATTTATTCTGTTTGTTACATCTGCAAAGGGCTTAATCAGACATGATTTCTTTCACAAAACCATGTTGACACTTACCTGCTGCATTATGACTTCCTAAATGATCTGCTATGATTGTCTTAATAATGGAGTGCAGCATTTTCTCAATGACAGATCTTGGACAAACGGACCTGCATTTTCCTTCTTTCTATCTCCCTCCATTCTTGGATAGAGGTGTTACATTTACAATTTGGGACCTTTCCAGAATCTAGCAAATTTGGAAGATTACAACCATTGGATCCATTATCTCTGTAATTACTTCCCTGTCTGCTTTCCAAAATGTACCCAGTCTTCTGGCCTCAGTAATCCTTGCAGAAATGTACATCTTTTCTTTCAATTTGATACTGCCCTTAAACTTCCTCTGTTAGCCATGGATGGTGCATCCTTCCTGTAGAGTCTTTCTTTCTCAGTTAAGTTTCTCACCCTTCCCTACAGGATTCTTTACCATGAGATCATAATTAATCCTGTGACATTACACATCATGAGATATGAAATAGCATGCTCCCTGAATGGTTCTGTAATGCATTGTTGGAAGGAACTGTCCCAAACATTCTCATGAACTTATCCTCTCATGACGGTTATAGGACCATTTTTACAAGCACTCATTATTTCCTCATTCACACTCTCCGACAATCTAGCTAAAGTGTCCAGGGGACTATAAATCACTCTCACCAGTGAGTTCGCTGTATTGTTCTTTCTCTATAACTTTCCAAATTTTCTCTCAGGTGAACCCTCTTCTCCACTGTTTCATTTAAAACCCTCACAAATGCCCCAGTTGCATAACTTGCCAGAACACGAGTCTTAGTGGAGTCCAGGTGAAGACTGTTCCAGTGGAACAGCATCGTCTTTCCCAGGTACTGGCACCAATGTCCTGTTAATTGAAACACACACTAATCTTTGAGGCATGCATTCAACTCTATTTCCTTGTAGCTCAGGGAGGAAGGCAGAGATTGTTATATTTGTCGTTCTGCACTTCTTCAGGCATTCTTACCAATGTCATTGGTACCAAAATAGTCCATGAAAACAGGATCCTTCCCCATTTACTGCATTTCCTCTCCACCCCCTAAGAAGATTTCCTTAATCCTGACACTTGGCAGGCAACACAGCCTTCAGGACCGTTAGACTTGGCTTCAGAGAACAGTACTTGTCCCCCTATACTTCCCTACCTCAACAACATTTCTTCTTGCTTCCTCAGCTCTTGAAAGGCCCCCACTCCAAGATGCGGTAGTTAGATTGCCTATTCTCCTTGCGGTCACTGCTCTCATCCACACAAGCTGTAAGAACAGTGAACTTGTTTGATAATTTCAACAGCGGAGACTCCTCCACAGTCACATTCTAGATCACCATTCATGCCTCTCTTACACACACTGCAACACGTCGTCTGCCCTGCCATCCCAATTTTGTTTTTGTTCCAGTTTTCAAATATCACTCAACAGATATTCATGGTTATATTATGGCATTTAACTAGTTCTGCTGTAAATTTAATACAATACTTGTATCTCCCTAGTTTTGGTTTAAATTGCTCTCTAGTGCTCACTTATTTAAGGCTCAAGTCTTGCTGTCTCCATCTCCTTCCCTGTACCCTAGTTGCCACTGGTTCCCTCTCTTGGAGCATTCATATTTCCTTCCCCATTGAGAGGACTGGCCTATGAGGAGAGATTGAGTAGGCTGGGATTATACTCATTGGAATTTAGAAGAATGAGGGGTATCTTATAGAAACATATAAAATTATGAATGGAATAGATAAGATAGAAGCAGGAAGGTTGAAATAGGGGGCATAGCCTCAAAATAAGGGAGGGAGCAGATTTAGGGCTGAGTTGAGGAGGAACATCTTCACCCAAAAAGTTGTGAATGTGTGGAATTCCCTCCCCAGTGAAGCAGTTGCAACTACCCTGTTGAATGTTTTGAAGGCAAACATAGATAGATTTTTGAAAAGTAAAGGAATTAAAGGTTATAGTGAGCAGATGGGTAAGTGGAGCTGAGTCCATGAAAAGATCAGCCATGATCTAATTGAATGGCAGGACAGGTTTGATGGGCCAGATGGCCTACTCCTGCTCCTATTTCTTATGTTCTTATAGTACATTGAATTCCCCCATTTACCAAGTTCCCAAATGTAAGTGTTTGATCTTGCTGACTTAGTCTCCTAGCTGTTAATTTCATATGACTTATTCCACACATCCCGTCTTAGTTTATCTCAACTGTTTTAGCATCACTTTCCTCTCATGGATTTGTCTATTTTTATTTTAGTAGTATCTATGTTATTTACTTCAATTGCATTTTATGTTAGAAATTTCATATTCTCATCTCCATCTGGGTAATTTTTTCTCCCTGATGCCTTATTTGATTTGTTAGTCTCTTTCTAGCATTAATGACACAAAAAGCTCGTACCTAATTTCAGACAGTACAGGGAAGATAGATGGAATGGCCTTTATTTCAAAGGAAATAGAGCGTTTGAGGACTCTGACTCTGTATTCAATGGAGTTTAAAATGATGAGGGGGATTTAATTGAAACTTACAGAATACTACAAGGTCTGGGTACAGTGAATGCGGAGAAGATGTTTCCATGAGTAGGAGAGACTGGGATCTGAGGGCACAGACTCAGAGTAAAGGGATGACACTTTAGAACTGAGATGAGGAGGAATTTCTTCAGGTGGTGACTCTGTGGAACTCATTGCTGCAGAAGCCAGTAGAGGCCAAGTCATTGAGTGTATTTAAGACGGAGTTAGGTAGGTAAAGGGATCAAAGGTTATGAAGAGAAGGCAGAAGAATGGGGTTGAGAAACATATCAGCCATGATCAAATGGTGGAGCAGATTTGATGGGCTGAATGATCTAATTCTGCTCCTATATCCTACATGGTCTTATGGTCTTATTAAAATAAAGGGAGGTTTTGCTAAAATTATATTATTATAATTTTATATATTATCAAATTAAATTTGCAGAAATTGTACAAGTGACTAGTCAGCCACCAGCTGGAATACTGTGAGCAGGTTTGGGCCCATTATCAAAGGAAAAATATTGCAGGCAGTCCTGAGAAGGCAGCCCAGAGGGGTCTGTTTTGTGAGGAGAGGTTGAGTAGATTGTGTCTGTACTGTTGGAATATAGAAAAACAAAAGGTGACCTTAATGCAAGACAAGATTCTAAGGAGGCTTGACAGGGTTCTTTTAATTAAAATGTACTGATTGGTTTCAGAACACTTTGGAACATTTATATGAATCAATTAAACATTTGAGATAAGATGATATTAGTAGTTAAGAGATTACAATACATAGTCTCTGAGCTGCAAAAAATTACTTTGGTGGTGCCTCATTATCTTGATAGAGATCTCTAAAAACAGTAAGATCAGATGGACAAGCTGTAAAGAAAAGCAAGATCCCACAAGTGACTGATATTTCAGGAAACTAGTCAGGTGATAGCATGAAGTGAATTCAGTCAAATGACCATCACTTTAAAAAGAACCAACTAAGAACTGGGTGTATTCATAGATTTAATTTATACGGTTTATGCATAGGCATGCCAGTTAAAGTTCAGAATGTCTGTGATCATGCATGGGATTACTGGCTAGCAAGGTCTAACAAACTATAACTTTTAGCAGCCTTTGCACAATAGGAAGACAGGAGAACTTCAGACAACAGGACAGGAGACATGTACCCAGTCAAATAGAGTTCTTGAGCTGGTATCCAAATGGACTGACTGCCTTTATTGAGTTTTATTCGTACATATTGTCATTAGATTGATAAATTCTGTGAGGCGTGTGAGACGTTCCTTGTACCTGGAATTGTCTTATTGCTAAACAAGGCTTTTAGATCCCCTCTCCCAAAACCAATCTACTTCACCTGATGAAGGAGCAGTGTTCTGAAAGCTTGTGATTTCAGATAGATGTAGAACATAGAACAGTACAGCACAGGAACAGGCCCTTTGGCCCATGATGTTGTGACAAACATGATGCCAAATGAAACTAATCCCTTCTGCCTGCCCTTGGTCAATATTTTCCCATTTCTTGCATATTCATGTGCTTATCTAAAAATCCCTAAATGCCCTTATTGTATCTGCCTCCACCATCACCCCTGGCTGTACATTCCATATTCCTACCACTCTCTGTGTAAAAAATTTGCCCTTCATGTCTCCTTTGAACTTTCCCCCTATGACCTTAAATGCCCCCTAGTATTAGACATTTCTCTGGGAGAAAGATTCTGACCGTCAACCCTATCTACGCATTTCATAATTTTATAGACTTATATCAAGTCTCCCCTCAACCTGTGCTGCTCAAGAGAAAACAACCTGAGTTTTTCTAACCTCTCCTTATAGCTCATACCCTCTAATCCAGGCAGCATCCAGGTAAACCTCTTCTGCACCCTCTCCAAAGCCTCCACATCCTTTCCGAAATGTGGGGAGCAGAAATGAACACAAGTGTGGCCTAATCAAGGTCTTATAACGCTGCAACATGACTCTTGTACTCAATTCCCCGACCAATAAAGACAAACATGCCATACGCCTTCTTTACCATCCTATCTACTTGTGTGGCCAGTTTCAGGGAGGACCTGTTGGAGTATAACCTGGTGTCGTATGACTTCTGACTTTGTCCACCCCAGTCCAACACCGGCACCTCCACATCATAACCTAATTTATAACTGACTTACAAGGTAAGTTAAGGTGACCCCAAAACCTAACTGTGGTCAAATTTAGTTTTATAGCATTCTTTGTGATGTTGTGCCGCATTAAAAACACCACTTACATGCAGGATGATGTTATCCAGTGAAATAGTGTGATTCAGGTTTTGAACTTACACAGGAAATAGGAGTTTCCCTGAAGACCTCTGCAGGAGCAATGTAGAAACTGTTCTCCTGGATTTGAAAACCCACTGAGGAATTTATCTGTGGATGGAATGGATTGAAATATACTTTACTACACTTTAAGCTGTTTGTATTTCAAATGATCTCAACATTCAAGATTCTGAAGGACACTGATAGACTGGGGGAGAAAGTGTTTCCTCTTGTGGCAGAATCTAGTACCAAGGAAACTGTTTAAAAATAAGTGCTCACCCTTTTAAGACTGAGATAGGGAGGCATTTTCTTTCTCACAGAGGTTCGTGATTCAATGGAAATGTCTTCCTCAGCGGTGGTGGAAGCAGAGTGTTTGAATCTTTTTAAGGCAGAGGTTGATAGTGTCATACAGCACAGAAACAGACCCTTTGGTCCAACTCGTCCATGGTGACCAGGTTTTCCAAACTAAACTAATCCCGCATCTGGCCCATATCCCTCTTAAATCTTTCCTATTTGTGTACCTGTCCAAATGTCTTTTAAATGTTGTAATTGTACTCACCTCTACCACTTCCTCTGGCAGATATTGGGGTTGACGGGAATGTGGAGCGATCAGATCAGCTGCGAATGGCATAGCAGGCTTGAGGGCCAAGTGGCCTACTCCTGCTCCTAATTTCAATGTTCATATTTTCAATTTTTATCCAAACTGCAACAAAAATCTGCAATCCACAGGACTGTCACAGTTCTGGAGGCTCTTCATCACACTAACCATGAGGGAGTAACAGAAAATGTAGACCTACCTTAGAGGGGGTGGGTCCCACATCCCATGAGTAAAGTGGAGGGAAGGTCAGATAGATACAGGTGAGGTCAGGACACTGAGTCGTGCTCACCTTGTAAAGTCTTTGCAAAATATTGAGACAATTGCACAGTTTATCAGGAAATTCCCTTTGGCTGCTGGAAGTCTCTTGAAGAAGTCTGTAAGATGCACCTCGATACATTGTCACAAGTTTCTTGAAGAAAAATTCATTGAGGTGACTCCACCAAGATTCTGGTTCATAGTTGAAGGACAGTCAGAAAAGAAAAATACAACAAGACTGATTTTGACTCACCACGATCTTAAAAATTAAACAAATTATCGAAAACAGTAATTTACTTTATTTTCCATTGGGGATACTGATGTTACTAACAAAGAGCAGGGGGAGGCCATTCAGTCCATTGGGTCAGTTCCACCATTCAATAAGATGATGGCGAATCTGATTTTAACCTCAAATGCACATTCCCGTATACCTCTCGCATCCTCCTTGTTTAATCTTTACTCTCCTCTGGTTGAATTTTGTTCTCATCCAGGAAATGCCATTGTTGGAAAATGGGATCACTGACCAGATTTTGTCACCGATATCACTTTAAAGGTTCTTAGGACTTAGAGATTTTGGGGAATATTTTTGGAAGATGTTGGGAGCGGTGTAGTGAGGAAACAATGGGAATGATGATCAAAGTTGCTGGGACCATACAGCAGGATAGTCAGATGTAATTCAAATGTAGTCAATTTGAACTTGTGTGTGTTTTGTAAGTTTACCATCAGAATGCATCAACCCCACAGCAGCAAAATACTGCAGATGCTGGAAATCTGAGCTAGAAGCAGGTAACATTGGAAATATTCACCATCTGTGAGGAGAAACACTAAGTAAACACTTCAGATCAATGACCTTGCATTAGGACTATAACATGAGATCCATAGCCCAGAGAGGTAAGGCTCGAAATTTGGCTGAGGAAAGGAGGGGAATTTTGTATTCTTCTTTGAAAAAAATGCCATGGGATTGTTCACACCTCCAACAGAGCAGCACTCCTGCAGTACCGCAAGAAGGTGCCAGCTGGAGAGGAGGTGCTGTCATGGGTATTGAACCCATGGTCATTTGGTTCAGAAGCAAGGATGTAACCTATCCATGAAAATTACACATTTTAAAAGCAAAATGCCAAAAGAATATAAGGAAAGGGGAAATGGAATGGGAGCAAAGTTACTCTTTCAGAGAGCCAGCATAGATGCTATGAGCAAACTGGTTGCCTTCTGTTCTACAAAACACTGGATGTTAAAAGAGGCAGACTAAATGGGAGGGGAGGAATTTAGGATGGGAATCCTTGAACACCAGTTTTCCTCAGAAGTTTATCGGGTTCTTTGCTTTGTTTGTATCTTTTCAGAGAGGAGCATTCTGGGGCAGGTGTCAGCACTTGGGTGGCATCAACCTGGCCTGTGCAATGGGTAGTTCGGTGGCTCAGTGGTTAGTTCTGCTGCCCCATAGTGTCAGGGACCTTGGTTCAATTCCAGTCTTGAGTGAATGTCTGTGTGGAGTTTGCATGTTCTCCTCCTGTCTGCATGGGTTTCCTCCAGGTTCCCTGATTTCCTCCTGCAGTCCAAAGATGTGCAGGTTAGGTAGATTTCCCATCATAATTGCCTATAGTGTCCAGGGATGTGCAGACTATGTGGATTAGCCATGGGAAATGCAAGGTTACAGGAACTGGGAGGGATGCTCTTCAGAGGACGGATACAGACCTGATGGGCCATGTGGCCTCTATATGCATTGTAGGGATTCTTTGATCAGGAGTATCCAATCTATGATCCAATCGGGTAATCACTGAGCTGAGGCTTTTGTACAGCTGGGCTTGATGGAGAAAATGTTTGTGAATGAGCTGGGAGCAGAATCATTGCTGTTTCTCTTGGCCAACATGCAGTGCTATAAAAAGATTTACCTTTTCCTCAACTCCTGTCGGCTGCTGGTTTTCCCAAGCCCTGGAAAAGCCAGCCAAACTTTGAAAAACTTGCAAAGCCAATTACATCAGCGGTTGCCAGAGTAACAAAAGGGAAGCGGTGTTCTAGGTGGGAGGTGCACAAGCTTAACTTACAAAAAGGGTGATTGTGTAAAGCAAAATAGGAAGGTAACGAACCACATAAAGAAACAGAAACTGAGTCGGGAGGTGCTGTAAAGATTTTACTCCTGTTCTGCTACAAAGACATCGAACTGAAACATTAACTCTATCTTTCTCACCAAATGCTACCTGACGTGCTGAGTATTTACCAGCATTTCTGACTGTATATCAGATTTCTGGGTTTAATTAGTAATTTTTTTAAAAGTCTGGAACGGAAAGCTGTTTTCAGTAACTATGCAATGAAATTATCATTGATTGCTGTAAAAACCCATCCTGTTCACTAATGTCCTTTATGGAAGGAAATCTGCTGTGCTTACCCGGTCTGGCCTACATGTGACTCCAGACTCACAGCAATGTCATTGACTCTTAACGGGCCTCTGGGCAATTAGGGACGGGCAATAAGTGCTAACCTTATCAGTGAGACCCATGTCCCACAGAATTGTTTTTGAAATCCGCACTATTTTGCTTTTGTGTCAGCTGGTTCAAGGCTTTATGAAATTCTGAGGGAGCGGGTTTAGCTGAGGACGTGGTTCAGAATAATGCCGACAGCAAGGGATTCGATTTCTGTTCTGACTGAAGTGAACTTAGACCCTGTCTCCTTGCTATGGCCTGCTGTAAATCACAAGTTCAGTGAGCCTCAATGATGCTACCCAAAGAAGAAAGTGAATAATTTCTCTAGCACTTACCAAGGATTTCCAGTTGGCTTCCCTCAAGTGATGCAGTGGCTGAGCTCAAAAGACTTGAAAGCATCACAATGTTGCTCTGCTCAGTCAGAACATCAAGGAGTTCAGGCAAAACCAGATAAATGCGAAGAGCTTCCACACCAATAGGAGATGTGGAGAGCGATGGAATCAAATTTGTCTGAACTGCATTGGTTACCTATTGGGAAAACAAACATTGGAATGTGAGGAACATATCATCAAGAGTAGCAATCTGAATTTATATAGCACCTTTGATGTAGCAAAACATCTCTAGGCACTTCACAGCCCAAACATATGAAAATACAATGTAGGAGCAGGACTAGGACATTCAGCCCTTCAAGCCTGTGGTGCCATTCAATAGATCATGGCTGATCTGAGTGAGGTCTCAGCCCCACTCGTACCTGGTGACCTTTGCCTCCTTAATGCAAACAGTATCATAAGACACAATATGACACTGAGCCACATAGAGTAATATTAGGGCAGGTGGATAAAATCTGGTCAAAGACATAGGTTCTAAGGATTGTGTAAAACGCGGGGAGGGAGGTAAAGGGGCACAGGGAGAAAAATGTGCCTAGGTTGGCACAGTGGCTCAGTGGTTAGCACTGCTGCCTCACAGCACCAGGGACCTGGGTTCAATTCCACCCTCGGGCAACTGTGTGGAGTTTGCACATTTTCCCTGTTTCTGTGTGGTTTCCTCCGGATGCCTCAGTTTCCTCACACTGTCCAAAGACATGCAGGCTAGGTAGATTGGCCGTGCTAAATTGCCCATAGGGTCCTGGGATTTGCAGGCTGGGTGGGTTAACCATGGAAAATGCAGGGCTATAGGGGTAGAGGGGTGGGTCTGGGTGGGATGCTCTTCGGAAGGTGAGGTGTGGACTCAATGGGCTGAATGGCCTACTTCCATGCTGTAGGGATTCTATGATTCTATAACTCCAGAACTTACAGCCTTGACATCCGTGAGAGAATTCAGCTCACTACTTAATCATAAAAATCACATAAGGAATCCTGGTTTGATCTATAGAATCAAACAGAACAACAACCATTCACTGCATTGTGACTGTGTTGGCTCTCTAGAAGAGCTAATTAGCCATTCCTCCACATCTTTCTCCTTCCCCTTGGACTTGAAAATTGTTCCTTTCAAAGCATAGAATCCAGAACCCTGACTGGTATCATCTTCAACATTACCTCTTGTAAAAGTCTTGGATTTTTCCCCAGTTTCTCAAACCATACGCTCATTGCTGACATGTCAACTCCTGACGATGCTAGGCCTGTTTTGAAATGATCATCGTTGCTGTTCCAAAAACAAAAGCAAGTGTTAATTTCACATGACAGCTGATGTATTTAGGTCGATGTTGCAAATCCTCATGTTCCAGGACTTTGACCCAGTGGCACTGAAGGAACGGTGATATATTTCCAAGTCAGGATGGTGAGTGGCTTGGAGGGGAATTTGCAGGGGGTGGCGTTCCCATGTACCTGCTGCCCTTGTCCTTCTAGGTGGTAGAGGTCATGGCTGTGAAAGGTGCTGTCAAACAAGTTGATGCATCTTGTAGATGGCATACACTGCTGACCCAACACGAGCACAGACCATGACACTCGCTCTAAAACCAATGTTAGAATTCACATGGACGGCACAGCATGATGACCTCAATGGTATCAGTGGTGGTTTGCTGGGTCCCAATCTTGCCATTAAGTCTAGGATACTTTGGGGTTAATATTTAACTCCAGAGACTTCAGTGCAAACCTCAAGTAGACACCTCCAGTGCTGCACTGAGGGAGTGCAATAGTGTTGGAAGACCATCTTTTAGGTGAGACATTAAAACGGAGACTCCTCTCTGCCCTCAAAATTTGACAGAGAAGTTTCCTTGTGACCATGGGAATTCTACCTGGGGTTGTGGGCCATCAACCCATGTGATTAAATAAGGATGAGATTATCAATATGACTTTTTGGGATCTTGCTTTGCTCAAATTGACTGCACTGGAAGTTCTAGGCTGGCTGTAAACTGCTTTGAGATGCTGTGAAGTCACTGATTTGGGGTCACACAGCCTTAGAGTGTGGGAAGTAACATCAATGGTGACACTGATAGTTTCCGATTATAACCTGTTCTGAGAGAACCAGTGCTCAATAGCTGAATGTTTCCTAGCAACAGAAATGGCTCAGAGCCAATCACATTTCAAATAGGACCCAACCATTGGCTGGAAAAATATATTTCAAACAAATTCCTCTGAATTAGATTTGAGCTTAACGTCACCAATAAAATAGAAATTAGGGTAAATTCATAAGCAACATAGAAACTGGAGACCATTCAGCCCTTCAACCTGTTCTGTCATTCATTTAGTTCTAAACTCATCTGTTTCTTAACTCCTTCCACCTGCGTTTGATCTGGAATCCTCTAAATCCCTCTTTGACAAAACCCTACCAATCCTAGCTTTGGAATGTTCAAGTGGCCTCTTGATCTTTTTGGAGGAAAGTTCTAGATTTCCACACCCCTGCGGTGAACAAATCCTTCCTGACATCATCCCTGAACTGCCAAGCTCTAATTTTAAGGCCCCACCTTCTCTGCTCTGGAACTTTCTTTATTCATTCTTGGGATATAGGCATCACTGCCTACTCCTGCATTTATTGTCCATCCCTAAATGCCCTGGATAAGGTAGGACATGCCACCTTCCTTCTGGTGTAAATAAACTCAGTGCTGTCAGGGAGCAAATTTCAGAGATAGTGAAGGAACCACAAAATATTTCCAAGTGAGGGTGGTGAATAGCTTGGTGTTTCCATATATCTGCTGCCCTTGTCCTTCCAGGGGGTAGAGGTCACTGGGTTGGAAAATGTTTTTGGAGAAGCCTTGGTGAGTTACTGCAATGTGTTGTGTAGAAGGTACACATTGTTACTGCTGTGCATTGGCAGTGGAAGGAGTGAATGTTTAAGGTGGCCCATTGTGCATGTATTGACTGTTTTATCTAGTGCCAATCTCCTGCCTTTTCTCCATATTAGTGTCCCAAAATCCATCCAATGCCCTCTCGAGTGCTTCAATTGAACCTACCTGTACTTGCCCAGCACCGAACACAATGGTTTAAGTGGAGGACAGTTTGAAGAAACAACAGCATTGTTGTATTCCTATCACTGACTCGCACTCCCTGGCTCCACTATGGCAAATTCACAGAATTTATCTGATTGTTCTCACTGTCTGCACCACAGACCTCATTACCACCTCCCACCCTAAACCATCATCCCCAGCCCCGACAGTCTGACTTATCTAAACTTGCCTTATTTCCAGAAAACTTCCATTCAGGGATGCAGCAGAAGAAAAGATAAGATCAATTTCCCTGTCGAAAAGTAGACATCATTTTTTAAGAATATCTTAAGATTGCTTTAACATTTATTCTTCAAACTCAAAGTGGTAAACTTGAAATACAAATATTAAAAAGGGCAATTTAATCTTCCATAATAATTCACTTTTTTAAATTTCTCATAGATATTGGTGTCTCTGGCTAGGCCCAGCATTTATTGTCTGGCCCTAGTTGCCCCCTCGAGAAGGTGGAGGTGAGCTGCCTTCTTGAACCGCTGCAGTCCACCTGCTGTTGGTAGACCACAGTGCCCTTAGGGAGGGAATTCCAGGATTTTGACCCAGTGACTGTGAAGGAATTGGAATATATTTCCAAGTCAGGATGGTGAGTGGCTTGGAGAGGAACCTGCAGGAATTGGTGGATGGGGTGCCAAGCAAATGGTTTGCTTTGATCTAGATGGTGTTGAGCCTCCCAAGTGTTCAAGTGTTGCTGGGGTTGCACTCATCCAGACAAGTGGACAGTTTTCCATCACACTCCTGACTTGGGACTTTTACATGATGGACGGGCTTTGGGGAGTTAGGAAGTGAATTATTCACTATGGATTCTGAGCCTCTGACATGCTCTTGTAGCTACAGTATTTACATAGCTTGGTCCAGTTTAGTTTCTGGTCAATATTAACCCACAGGATGTGGGATAGTGAGGGTGTAGTGATGGTAACACTATTGAATGTCCATGGCATAATGGTTAGATTCTCTCTTGTTAGTCATGGTCATTACTTGGCACTTTGTTAATACTTCTGCATTAATAATTTTGTATTGATTTTTCTATTCAACATTTTGCCAAATATCATTGAAAACAGTGAAAATTGAAGTTAACATTGATAAAGAAACACATATTAACTTCTTTGTGTTTTCCCACAGTTCCTCATCATCTGTTGCACTCCATTTGTCCAGAAGAGAATCTTCAACAGTAGCAATTCTCTTCAGAGTGAGGAATGGACATTCAACTTCAGGAGAAACTGAATCCTATAATGCAAGAATAGATGAAGGATTGTATTTTACTAGACAAATCACTGACCTGAGACACTGACCTTTAATTTGTTGTCAAATATGTTAAAGGTACTTATTATTATTACTGCATAAATGGTCTACTAACTTGTATTGAGGAAGAGTTTCTCTTTGAATTGTGATAGGTCACAAGTAGCTGGACAATTTGAATCCTTCTACTGTAACCACACAAAACTAACAGTTCACCATCAACCACTCTGTGAGTTTCAAACGCCTGCTACATTTTCAAATTACTTACCTGTTGAACTCACTGCAGAAAGTTAGGTTGAGTCTTAACAGTGTAAGGAATCTTCAAAATTATGAAATTTATGTTTTTAGATTTCCAGTCAACCTCTTCAGCTCATTAGGGGAACAATTCAAACTATAGAGTTTCATTCCTATAGGTGATAAATGTACTGATTGTAACTAGGTCAGCCAGGTGGACCTCATAGAATATGAGTACCCTGATTGGGGCTGTTAACCGGGTCCAATCAGGGAGCCCTGGCTGACAGGTATAAACAGAAGTGTCAGACATCCGGTCCACTCTAGGAGCTGGCTCTGAGGAAGCTGGATCAGTATCAAGTACTGTAAACTTGTAAATAAAGGGTGACTAGGTGACAGGATACTGGCTTTTGTGGAATTACTTCATTACTTTTATCCCTCTCTCTTAATCCAAGTTTGTTTTTGCCCTCCTCTGTATTTGATTTGACTCTAATTCGCCCAACCTACCTCTCCATTGTTCCCCTGTTTCTTTCTCATGCTTAAGTATGATTGCTTCAGGAGAGTGATGGACATAAAACAATACCATTGGTTTAAAAATAATGAAGCCTACAAAACTGGGTGTCCACATTACCTGAGAAGGAAGAATGAATGGAGAGTAGGCAGGCATGAGGATGAATTCATCTATCAGGGAGCTAGCTCAGGCACTGTGGGCCAATTGGCCTTCTTCTATATTGTAAACAATTCTGTGTAAAATGACAAATATGGTAATCTCCTCCAACCTGACAATTTTCTGATATCCCTATACTCCTCCCATTCTGGCCTCTTGTGCACACTCATGTCCAACGCTGTGCCTCTGGTAGCTGTGGCCCGAGCCCTGAAGTTTTGAAATTCCCTCCCTAAGCCACTCTGCATCTTGTCCTCCTCATTTAAGAGACTCCTTAAAACCTACCCCTGGTGGCTAAGAGTCTGTTCACCAGACCTATGTGATGTTGTGTCAAATTTAATTTGACAATAGCTTATGTAAAAACCATTGAGACATTTTACTGCATCAAGGCACTACATAAATACAACTTGTCATTGTTAGCTTGAGGTGCTGCTGATAGGCTCTTCAGGAAGCGAATAAGCAGCACCAACAACAGGAGGTTAAAGGCAATGCACAAATTGAACAAAATCATTTCCTGGTGAAATGTAAAAAAGCTGTTAGATTCTGGAAACATTGTGATATGTAGGATGGCTCAGTTTGTACCAAACCATTAACAGAAATTGCTGGAAAAGCTCAGCAAGTCTGGCAACATCTGTGGAGTGAAAGTAGAGTTAATGTTTCAAGTCCAGTGACTCTTCCTCATATGGCTCTCCACAGATACTACCAGCAATTTCAGTTTTTGTTTTCAGATTTCCAGGATCCACAGTTCTTTGTTTTCTTGTACCAAAACACTCCTCTAGGGAGATGTATATTTTTGCAGTTTAGACAAGATGGCTTGTTTCTAGGTTTTATGCACAATAAATTGCAAACACACGCACACAGACACACAGACACACACACACACATCTGTGACTCTTCCACCTATGACTTCTAGCAATTCTAATTATTATTAATAAATTGTTTGCATGACTAACAATTCTTTCCAACTGGAACCTTTGGTGAGCAAGGCTCCATGTTGGTAGCACAGATATTGCTCATGTTTACCCACTGATCACAATGATATTCATTCAGCTGTGCGGCTGTGGGAGTCTGGATCATTTGCTTAACACTTTGGTTTTGTTGTAACAAGCTGCTGTGTTCTGTCTGAACCTGAGGTTGTTCAAAACTGTGCTGCCCTGTTCTGGGTTGGTGGAAGTCCTATGCACAGCTCCTTGAGTACACTGGCTCCTCCACCAAACAGCATCTTGTTTATTTTCAAATCCCTCAACTCTCACTATTCCTGTAATCACCTCCAAACCTAAAACCCTCAACGATATCCAGAACCTTGAATTGTCCCCTCTTTGTCCAACTCAATGAACGTTACTCAAACATTGGTCCAGGCTCCAAACTCTGGAATTCCACCCATCCCTTCCTTTCTTTCCTCTTTGTTTGTCTGACCTAATACCTTCTGAGCTCAGCGTCATACTTTTTTTCATAATACTAATGTGAAATGACATATTTCGTTACATTAAAGGTGCTATACAAATGTAATGTGCTGTTGTTGAACTCTGATGGAAGGAACTGTAAAATGTAAAGCTGCCATAGTCCCACTCTCTTACTATAGAGAGGTGGCTAGTGGTGAGTCATGAGATGTTGGGATCTTCATGGTAACCTCAGACAGTGAGGGATTCGAACACACAGTGTCGGTATCACTCTGCATCACCAACCAGCCATTTGAGGTAACTGACCACCAAAGGAGCTGTGCTGCGAAACTGGCTGCAGGCTACACAGGGAACTTCCCTAAATTACAATACAACAGTGAAGGTGTTGCAATATGCTGAATTTCTTACCACTTCAACACCGCACAATGCAAATCCTTGGTTAGCTCCTGCAAAGATCCTTTTGACTGTTGGCTGCATTATACAATCTGTAAATTAAAGAAATCTTGTATTTATATAGCACCTTTCATGACCTCCTTAGCATATCCAAGGAACATTGCAGCCAAAGAAGTATCTTTTGATGTGTAGTCACTGTTGTAATACAGGATACTCAACACCAGTAAAAATACTTCCTCTCTTTCTACCCACTCAGTTCCCCTCGATAACTTGAAAACTTTAACCTAACCACTGCTACTGCTCTGTCCATTGGAATTATCCTAGGTGTACCGGACTGGGGTGCGGTGAGGTGTGTCCTTGCCTCTGAGCTGGACCCTCCAGGTTCGAGTCCTGCTCCCAGGATTTGATGACCGAGGAAGGTGCATTCATAATGTAGCCCAAACACATCAATTATCAACTTATAAATCGTGCTAAAACACGTTAACGGTGAGCCGTGAGAGTGGGAAGGATTCCTGGTCAGCTTTGTGATAGAAACAATGTTGGAGCTGTACCCATCCCTGTCATAGACTACCCAAGTAACCCATCCTGCCATTGCACTGACTGTGTTGCTGAGATAGCTGGTTAACATGAAATTGGCATATGTCCTATATACTGAAGCCTGGTGTCCAGTACAATTGGATTTACTGAAAGCCTGTGTACAGGGCTCATTACCTTGAATACTGGAGTTTGTATCAATGGCTGCCGATGACTTTGCCAGCTCTTGTCTCGATGGAACCTGGGCCTTTCGGAGTTGGCTGCCGTGCTGACGTTTCCTGTTTGCTTTGGTTTCGTGCTCAGCCCTGGTTCCACTGGGAAGCGGTTGTGTGGTTAACTTTGGCGTCGTTCGCTCTTTGCCATTGATCCTCCGCTGTTTGGCTGGTGTGCTGGTTGCACGGACCAAGTATGGTGTGATAATTGTCCGCTTGTGCCTATCGACTCTGTTTGCAGCTGCTCTTGTCATTCTCCTGGTGTGTGCCGAGGTGAATTCCGAAGCAGAATGACTCATTGTCACTGAAAAGAATAGAAATCGATTAGATTTTATAGAAAAGAACCACCATCACCAGCAGGTTCCAAAAGTAGTTCAAAACACTTCTGCGGAAGGCTCCCTGGAAACTGCCTTCCTTAAGAAGGCCCTATTTGTTTTGGATGCTATTCAGTACCGAAAGTAAAGAGCTGGCAGTCAACGCTGTTAGATAGCCTGAAATAATCAACAAAGGACATTTTTTTCGAATGTAGTCATTTTGGTAAACGAGGAAAGATGGCCGCCAATTGATGCACAGCAACTCCCAATAATGTTAATATGATCACAACGAGATCATCTCTTTAAGTTGGTTTTTAAAAATTTACTCATGAAATGTAGGTGTCCCTGGATCCACCAGCAGTTATTGCCCGTCCCTGATTGCCCCTTGAGAAGGTGGTAGTGAGCTGCCTTCTTGAACCGTTGTGGACCATGTTCTGTACAGGCACCCACAGTGCCCTTGGGGAGGGAATTCCAGGACATGGGTTTGGAAATAGGCTTTGAGGATGCTGTTTTCAAATGCAATGGTTCATCTCCCAGCAGTTGAGAAGACTGTGACCTGAATTTAGTGGACCCCACCCCCAAATCCCCAGGGTAAGGTGATATCATTGGTAGAAGGGTAGGGGTTAGGGGAAGGAGCAGGAGAAACAGATAGGAGTACCCTCATCAGAATCCCAGAATCGAGAAAAATGTCTGCTATTGATTTAGGGTTGGAAAGGGACCAATACTCCTCCCTTCCTCCTTCCTACCCCCTTCTCCATCCCTCTTCCTAACTCCAACCTGCTCTCAATCACATGTCTCTGGTGATCTCGTGAGTCTCAGAACTTTACAGAGAAACTGCCATCACTAGCATCAGCGCTCTCCATAACGCTGAACTGCTGGCCTGCCTCTGATTGGCCAGTAACTTTTGGAGGTGGGCTTTCCACCTTCCAGGATCTTCCCTCAAATGAGACACCAAATGTCATTGGTCAGTTGCCTGAGCACCTCTCCCATCGACACAATGTGAAGCTCTCATGGTTCATCAACCATTGTGAGGGAGGTGGGGGAAAAGAGGTCCCAGTGACTGGAACTAAATCTACACGTCTTCCAGATTAACCATCTACAATTAAATTCTTACCGTGAATCTGTTCTGTGCCATGAGGTATACTGATTAAGAACGTAATAGGACTGGGCACCATCCGATGACTGTGTTTTTCATTTCCTGTTTGTCTGTTCTCGATACCACCATAATAGTAGATTTTGCCAGATGACGCCACTAAGACCAACGTGTGATAGCTATAAAAGAAAATGTACCATGAAACTAAGATAGAAATTGCTGGAGAAACTCAGTAGGTCTGGCAGCATCTGTGGGCAGAAAGCAGAGTTAAAGTTTCGAGTCTGGTGACTCCGCATCAGAAACTTGCAATAAAACTACCTCTGTGGATCCACCATAAACTTATGACTGCCCTTAACAGCTGCATTTATAGAGGCTGAACAACACAGTCAGTCCCTGTTCAATTGATTCATGACAATGTTTAATGGGCAGCTCGGACTGAAAGATAGACACTGCTCATCAATCAACAATAGTCAGCAATGAACAGTGAGCAATTCTTTGTGGAGTTGCAAGAAATTTGGAATTATTGTTATGCTACTTATTTTTACCTTGTTGGAACAAACTCTAAACCTTGGTCACTGTGCTTCACTGATTTGATAACATTTTATAATATTTTAGTGCAATATACAGGCATGTAACTCAGATAAATGAATTCCATGTTTTTCACCATTCAATCTGGTCTGTGGTTTTAAATTGCTTGTGATTCCAGACTTGTGAACAGCTAAATTTCCTGCCTTCTCCCTGGGATATCTGCACTCGAATTTCAGACTCTAGTCTGTCCTCAGTTGCCTTCCCTCCTCCATTCATGGCATGGCCTCAGCAAGGTCAGCAATTTTCTACTTAAAACTTTTCACTTTTCTCTCCTTCACTCTCTTTCAGCTCAGTTATCTTTTTCCTCCAATTGTTGATCACCTGTCCTAATCTTACCTTATGTGGTTTGATGTCCTGTTTCTTGTGCAGATGTTTTGCAGTTAAAGGCTGCATTTAAATGTAAGTATTGAATCAGTGTGAAAAAACCTTTTCATTTTATGCTTTGGTGAATTACATCCTAGATTGCCACACTTTTGCCTGGATTCAAAATTCACTTTCATTAAAGCAAGACCCTCCTACAGAACTGACCCCATCCACAGAAAAGGTCCCACACAAAGAGATCACCTCTTTCCCCCACAGAACTGCTCCCCATCTCCCGTTTTTGGTTTGAAACAGTATGTTATTCTGCCAGTACTTTGCTGATCTGTTCAACATAGATGCTTTATTATACCTTCCTCATTGACTCTAAATGTCTAATACTAGGGGGCGTGCATTTAAGGTCAGAGGGGGTAAGTTCAAAGGAGATGTGAGGGGCAACGTTTTTTACGCAGAGAGTGATAGGAGTGTGGAACGCACTGCCAAGGTAGTGGTGGAGGCAGATACGATAGGGGCATTTAAGGAACTTTTAGATAAGTACATGGATATGCAAGGAATGGAGGGATATGGACCAAGGGCAGGCAGAGGGGATTAGTTTCATTTGGTGTCACGATCGGCACAACATCGTGGGCCGAAGGGCCTGCTCCTGTGCTGTACTGTTCTCTGTTCTATGGTGGTACATGTTCATGGCAGCCTCAATTGGACAAATGCACATTGGAATTTTCAACACACTACACCAGCCACACAGCTTTGGATTGAAAAATTTCGGCAAATCTCTGCTGATTGATGTTCAGAGAAAGTTGTCAAGTTTTACCTGTTTTTTTTCAGCATATCACTACTAGGTGCTCCTAAAACACTTGCATAAAGAAACTAAGCAATTCAACTCTCTGAGTACGGATGGACACAAGGAAGTAAACATTTACAGACATAAGGAAAATTCTTAAATCAACTCACACCGTACCCAGAGTGAAGTCACTGGTTGCTGTTAAAGTTAATTTGATAACTTAAGATTAATAAAAAGCCATGTTTGGCTTCTAAAGCTGCACTGGTGGAACATGTGGTAAAAAGCTCTGGAGAGACAGAAAAAGAGAAGAAAAAGAGCATTTTAACCAGACATTTTACTTAGAGGAAATGTCTTTATTTAATGTTTTTTATTGGCTCCTTCACCAGACATCTACGACAGGGTCAATTTTGTTTCAGTCTCTAATTGATCCCAGAGATTTACTCTTTCTTTGTCTGAATTGCAGGAATGTATGTGTTCAGGGTAACGTAAATATGTCAGGATTGGAACTCCAAGCAGTAGCTCAAGTCAGAAAAATTGTCAGAAGTCAAACAACACCAGGTTATGGTCCAACACTGCTCCGAAAGCTTGTGATTTCAAATAAACCCATTGGACTATAACCTGGTGTCGTTTGATTTCTGATCTTGTCCACCCCAGTCCAACACCAGAACCTCCACATCAGAGAAATTGTGCCCATTTCTGGCATGTTTTGGGCTTAATTTCCTGCTTCTGGGACCCAGAGGGTAGTTATCAGCAAGGTTCTTTCCCCCACCTGTACCATGGACACAATTGTCATCGTTCCACAATTGTTTTATTTGAAGTTTCATTAATTTACCTCCCACATGCAATCTGAGAGACTTCACTCCCAAGTAGCTCAGTAACCAACCGTGGTTTAATCTCATCACTTCTTGTGCTGTGTCCAAGCTGTCCATAGCTCCCAGCCCCGCAGGTAAAAACAGACCCATCCTAGAAGAGAGACAACGGCTTGCATTTATAATGTAGGAACATAAGGAGCAGGAGGACGCCATTCAGCCCCTCGAGCCCGCTCCACTATTTGACACTATCATGGCTGATCTCATCTTGGCCTCAACTCCACTTTCCTGCACGCTCCCCACAACACTTCAACCCGTTACTAGTTAAAAATCTATCTATCTCCTCCTTAAATCAATGTCTCAGCATCCACTGCACTCTGGGGGAGTGAATTCCACAGATTCATGACTCTTTGAGAGAAGTATTTTCTCCACATCTCTGTTTTAAATCTGCTGCCCCTTTAGCCTAAAACTATGACCTCTCGTTCTAGACTGCCCTACATGAGGAAACATCCTCTCTACCTTATTTTATTAATTCCCCTTAGCATCTTGTAATCCTCGATTAGCTCTCCTCTCATCCTTCTAAACTCTAAGAGAGTATAGACCTAAACTGCCCAATCTCTCTCTGTATAAGACAGACCATTTATATCTGGAATGAATTTACTGAATCTTCTCTGAACTTCCTCTGATGGAATTAATATCTATTTCTATAGCACCCTTGATGGGGGAACCTACCCAAGCAATCTCACAGGAGCATTTATCAAACGCAATTTGGACAGGAGGTGAGGACAGGTCTAATAGCCGATGTGCAGACTTGAAGCCCCCACTAAAGATTCTGAGATATAAAGAGCGGGCCATAGGGAGGGAATGCAACCCCGTGACCCCAAAAAAACCATCCCCTTCCCAGTACAGAATTCCCTGCCGCTTTACCCCTGAACTCACAGTCTTCCCCATATCACCTTCCTGCCTTCCAGGCGCCAAAATACATTTTTCAAGGACTCTACATGAGATTTTCTTGAGGCTAAGTTTTGATTTTTCAGGAGCTACTTTTTGGTTTTCAGGGGCTTCTTTTTGATTTTCACTAACTCCTTTCTGAGGTGATGCAGTCAGGTAGTAAAATTACCTTTTTTTTAATGTATGGGCCACCTGGACTGACAGAAACAGAATTTAAATAATTCATTAATTTCCTCAATAATCATCACTCCCCATTAAACATAAAGCTACAACACACAAGGGAAGAACAATATTTAAATTGGTGCAAGACAAAAGGTATAAGTTAGCAATAAAATATTTTGTCAAATAACTGACATATTTCTACACACAAAGAGCTATCACTTTAAACATGTTTCTTGTGGTCATAGATAAATGGTTATATGTTTATGACTAACACAGCCACTGCACCATAAGTAATCAACAGCATGTGAAATGCATTAAGATGCGATGAAATGTAAATCCGAATCTTTATGAAATAAAACTGTTCAGTATTGTTCATTACAGCAGTATGAATTGCATTTTCCCCATATAGTAACTCCTGAATTTACACAGCCTAGGACTTCAGATTCATCAACAAGGAATTAATTATCTTAGTGACTCCACATTTTTCTGGTTCAGTTAGCTGAGTATTGCTTAGTTGAAAGGGTTAAAGTCAGTGAGGTAATTAACTTTTTGAAAATAAACGTGCAGTCTCTGGCTTAAGAATAAATAAAAATTCCTTCCACGAGTAAGAAAATTAGTAACCAAAAGAAACAGAATTAAAATAATTGGCAAAAGAACCAGGGTGAGAGATGAGGAGCATTTTATTGGTTCACACGGTGAGCTGTTGTAATCTGCAATGTACTGACTGAAAGGGCAAGGTAAAAAGATTCAGTCCAAACTTCTTTTAAAAGGGCAATTGGAAAAATACTTGAAGGAGGAATACAGTTGCAGGGATATGGAGAAAGCACGGGGTTGTGCGATTAATTAGATAACTTTTTCAAAGAGCTAGCACAGGCGAAGTAGGCTGAATGGACTCTTTCTGTGTGTTGGGATTCTATGATTTCTTGGAATTTAAATAAATGTTGAGATGAATGCTTGTCTCAGTGATGGTGGCCATGAAACTATCATCACTAGTCATAAAGACCCCATCTGGTTCTCACATGTCCTTCAGGGAAGGAAACTCGCTGCCTTTACCCGGTCAGACCAACACGTGACCCGAGAGCCACTGCCCTCTGAAAGAACCCCACAAGTCGCTCATTTCAAGAGAAATTAGGGACGGGTGACAAATGCTGGCTTTGACAGCATTGCTTACACTCCATGAGACAATAAAGAAAAATAAATTCCCTGAATAGTGGATGCCAAACTTTTCCCAGTGCAGACTGTGTCAAAGGATTCATTCAGTTTGCTCTTTGTTATGTCAGGAATTTAACAAGGTCAGAGAGACTTTCACACAGGATGACCCCCTCATTCTAACTAATTATTCGCTGTCCCATTGCAAACGTTTAAATGTGGACCTAAAATTTTGATGTTGTTGATGAATACATCATAAAGCAGAGTGCCTTGGTCTATTCACATAAATGAGAACACTGACTTAACCTTGATTTACAATCCCCCAAGGATCACGCACAAGTGTCTCATAAGGACAGAGCATTAACACCTCCGACTGTCAGATGAGAACAATTTTGTTCGATAAATTACACTTAGAAATATTTGAATGGATATTGGGGTTTAACACTCTCATCTTTTGTGTCAGAAGTTTATGGGCTTGAGTCCCATTCCAAAGACTTGTGCACAAAATCAAAGCTGATTCTTCCCGTGCATTCCTGAGGGACCTCGGCACCATTGAAAGTGCTGTTGATGTTGTACTAGTGCACAGATTCCAGACTGGTCAGAGAGTGTACTTTTAAGACAATGCCATCATGAAATGAGATGCTCCAGTATTCATCTTCGGTCACTCTCTCTCTGTGTGATGGAGTCAGAGTTGTGTGTTCAATCACTTGTGTATGTAATGCATAATAATATCAGAACCCAGAGTATGTAGAAGTCTGTGGGATTAGAGCAATGTGAATAGCTAGTGTTGTTAATAAACTTCAAGATATCTGTCTCAACAAAAACTTGACCTTTATGGGATATATATTTGGTGAGCTGCCATATGGGGCAGCACTCAGATCATATCATACTGGCAGTGGTGTTTGACTCAAGAAACTACCTCAGTCTTCATGGCTGAAATGTTAAACCTAGACACTGTTTGCCTCTCAGTTGGATATTGAGGGTCCCATGGCACCCTGTTGAAGAAGACTAAGGGTGTTATCATCAATGTGCTGGCCGATATCTGTTTCACAATCATCAACATGGTATTTCATCTGTTCATTTATCACATTGCTAATTCAGCACTGTTGATAAAAACAACGTGTCATCAAAACTTTTCATCTTGCACTCAGTTTGCACCTACAAGGGTGGCATGGTGGCTCATTGGTTAGCAATGCTGCCTCACAGCACCAGGGACCCAGGTTCAATTCCACCCTCGGGTGACTGTCTGTGTCGAGTTTGCACATTCTCTCCCCGTGTCTATGTGAGTTTCCTCTGGGTTTCTCGTTTCCTCCCACAGTCCAAATATGTGCATGTTAGGGTGGATTAGCCATGCTAAATCATCCATAATGTACAGGCTAGGTGGGTTGGCCATGGGAAATGAGGGGTTACAGGGATCTGTTTGGATGGGATGTTGTTAGGAGAGTCAGTGTGGACTCAATGGGTTGAATGATCTGCTCCCACACTGTAGGGATTCCATGGTTTTATGTGAGAAAGCCAAATTACAAAAGGTACAATAATTTACCCCGCATGAGCAAAAGGAAACAGATTAGTTGTCAAGTTATTCCTGACTGACCTGCTGTGCACAAATTGGCGCTGATTTTCCTGGGTTACTTTGCTTGCTGTTAATTACTTAGAAATATCCTGAGGTCTGAAAAACACCTCAGAAATGCAAATCTTCATAAACCTGGAAGAAAGTGCAAGTTCACACATAAAATTTGTCGTATTCTACAAGCAGACCTTAGTAAGCAGGGCAGTGTGTTGCGCTCCACAGGAAATGTAGACGATCTTCTTACATTCCAATAGCTTTACGTACGTGGGAAGTTTCCGAGCTGGGATAAAGAAAAAGAGGTATAATCTTTTACTCCTGACACCCTGGAATGTAAAACTGAAGTAATGCACAAATGCAAAATAGCCCTGGGGAGTGTTGCCAAACAAAGAGACCTAGCAGGTGAAGGTTTATAGTTCTTTGAAAGTAGAGTCGCAGGTAGACAGTGTGGGGGGGAAGACATTTAGCACGCTTGCCTTCGTTGGTCAGTGCATTAAGTAAAGGAGTTGGAAGGTCATGTTGTGCTGCTCAGAACACTGGTTAGGCCACTGATGGAATGCTGCGTTCAATTCTGGTCTCCCTACCATAGGAAATATCTGATTTGATTTATTTATTGTCACATGTATTTTGTTACAAAATGCAGTGAAGTGTAGTGTGGTGTTGCTGCTCTCCAGCACCATCTTAAAACACGGAAAGGGAAATCCAAAACATAGAGTATAAAAGCAGAAAAATGAAGAAGTAAAGTCCAACTTTACAGTCCCCTTCTTGTTAAGTGCTCAGTCATGGAGCACTGACTGGAACAGTCAGCCATGAGTCTCCTCACTGCGTTGCCAAAACAAGAACTGCCAATCTCCAGCACCATCTTGCTGCCACTATGAGTCCTTGCCGGACCTTGCCAATGCAGCTCCGATCAACACCATCAGGTCCCACACCGGCTCAAACACGACCCTGCCACCACCAAGAGCCCACACCTGACCCACCGCGCCAATGCAGCTCCTGCTGAGGTCACCGAGTCTCATACTGGGCCCAAACCCGCCTTCGCCGCCACCTCCATGAATCTGAGCTGGATGCAGACACTGTGGGGAACATCCACTGCGGCAGCTTTGATTCGGTGCTGGGCTCGCCTCTTCAATGCAGAAGCCACCGGGAACTAAACTCGCCCAACGATGCCATCGCCACAACCGAGCTCTTCACAACAGGCACGGGTAAAGAAGGAAAACAACCAAAAAAGAGAAAAATGGAGCAGACGAGCCCTGGGCTCAAGACCTCTACTCTGCCACCATTAGCAAGGATGTTGTGAAACTGGAAAGGGTTCAGAAAAGACTTACAGGGATGTTGCCACGTTTGGAGGGTTTGAGCTATAGGGAGAGGCTGAATAGGCTGGGGCTATTTTCCCTGGAGTGCCAGAGGCTGAGGGGTGACCTTACAGAGGTTTATAAAATCATAAGGGGCATGGATAGGGTGAATACACAAGGTCTTTTCCCCCGGGTAGGTGGGTATGAAAGTAGAAGGCTATTCTGAGGAGCCAAGAACATTTTGCTTCTGCCCCTTTTGCGAATTGGCAGCTTTCATATGGTCCACCTATTTGTTGAGGACCATCGCACCTACCCGAGTCTTATACATCATTGGGGAACATTCTTCATGTGTTTTGAAAGTTTGACATTTTAAAAGTCCCCACTTGGCAACACAGGGGTTAAAAATTGACAGTAAGCACATTCTCTAAAACATAATGGAGTATCTTTGAAAGTTAAGGTTCCTGCAAAATTTACTTGAATGGGACACAACTTGCAGAGGAAAACCTCTGATGCTGTGGGCTCTATCAATGATGTGCCTTACCATCAAACACTATCCAACATTGTAAACAGAACCATACAGAACAATAGTTTCATCATTTTGCATTTAGCTTTGCAGCAAACCGCGAGTTTTAAAATACACGATGAAATATGGGGCATGAAATAACTCCACAGAGATCAGTACCCCATCACCAAGTCACTCTTTATTTACATGTGGAGACCCCTTGATACTGATCCAGCTCCTTTAGAGCCACCTCTCAGAGTGAACAGAACCTCTGACACTCCTGTTTGTATATGTCAGCCAAGGCTCCCTGATTGGACCAGATTAACAGCCCCAATCAGGGAACTCATACTGTATGATATCCATCTGGCTGACCTCATTACAATCGCTACTGGGCACAGCAGAAAATTGACCATTCAGCAATTTGTAAGTAAGGTGCCCTGAGATACTAAAGACTACACTTTGCTCTAATAAACGATTAAATCAAGAAGCTACAATTTTCTTGTCTATTCTCAGTGTTTCAGCTGCATTTAAAATATTTTCCCACCAGAGGGAGAGGCTGTTGTTGATGTCCACACCAAAATGAATGATCTCCTCCATGAAGTGTAGCAGCAGCACCAACAAGAACCTGCATTTATATAGCACCCTTAATGTAATAAAACAAGGCATGCTACAACAATGACTATCCAACCAATTTTGTTGCTGACCCTCAATAGGAGGCATCAGAGCTGTTAACCAAACATTGATTTGAAGAGAGAGCATCTTAATGGGGGAGGCGTAGAGTGACAGAGGCTTAAAGGGGGAATTACAGGTTGAAAGGCTTCAGCAGCCAAAGGGACAGCTGTAAATGGTGGAACTATTAAAATTGGAGATGCTCTAGAGGGGAGAGTGAGAGGGGTGCAGAGATCTCAGAGAGTTGAGGGTCTGCTTGAGATTACGGAGATGGGGAGATACAATGCATTGCAGGGTTTGAAAACAAAGATCAGAATTTAAAATTTGATGTGTTGCTGGACAGGCAGCTAATATAAGTTGCTAAGCAAACAGGGTAAAGGTGAATGGGATGTAAGTATGAAGTCGGAGCAGACTTGATGGGCTGAAGGGTCTTTTCTGTTATATGACTCTGTATAAGCACTGGTTGAGATTTAGTGCAAGGTATAACAAAGATCCAGACTGGAGATAGAAACTGGAAAATGATGAGTGTGAAAAGGAAGAGAATTGCATTTTACTTACATTTTGTGTCATCGAGCCCCAGCTGTCCATGGTTATTTCTTCCCCAGCTGTACACTGCCCCAGAGAGGGAGAGCGCAAAGCTGTGAGCTCCACCTGCTGTAATCTGAGCCATAGGGATTGCCGTCAGTGATTCCACACGTTGGGGGCTGAGCACACAGTGACCACTCCTGCCAAGGCCCAACTGGCCCCCAGTGTTCTGTCCCCATGCAAAGACTTGACCATCTTTTAGCAAAATTAAAAGAGAAACAATTGTGCAGGTAACTCGTTAAATAAAGACTCACTTCTACAAGGAAGTATCCAGCTTTAAGAACATAAGAAATAGGAACAAGAGTCAGCCATTCATGCCCTCAAGCCTGTGCTGAGTTTCTATAAGATCATGGCTGATCTGCCCCAGGCCTCTCTTGTGTGTCATCTCCTCATTGCTCTTAACTCCCCAATGTTTCAAAAAGATGTTCACCTCCTCTTTATATACTTTTAATGATCTAGCCTCCACAACTCTCTGGAGTAGAAAATTCCAGACATTCACTACTCTCTAAGAGAAGAAATTCCTTCACATCTCAGTTTTAAAAGACTGTCCCTTATTATGTAATTATGTGCCGCAATCTGAGATTTCCCCCTTCTCAATATCTACCCTGACAAGACCCCTCCGAATGGTGTATGTTTCAATAAGGTCATCCCTCAGTCTTCTAAACTGTTATGAATAAAAGTCTAACCTGGTTAAATGTTCCTGATAAGTCAACCACTTCATCCAAGAACCTGCTTAGTGAATCTCTTTCGAACAGCCTCCAATGCCAATATATCCTTAATTAAAGACAAGGACCAAAGCAGTACACAGTACTCCAGGTACAGTGTCACCAACATCCTGTACAGTTGCATTTTTAAACTCCGAACCCCTAGCAATAAAAGGAAAACTTCAATTTACCTTCTTCTTAACTATTGCTGTACCTGCATGCTAACCTGTGTGTTGCATGCATAAGAGCACCCAGATTCCTCTGCAGAGTTTCCCTCCATTTAAATAATATTCTGCGTTTGATACTTCCTATCAAAACGCATGACCTGACACTTTTGTACATTAAACTCCATCTGCCATGACTTTGCCCTCTTACTCAACCTACCTAGATCCCCTTATAGATTCTTTATGTCCTCATCATAACATACCCTCCCTCCTTTATTTGTATTGTCAGCAAATTTGGATGTATTACACTCTACCCCTTCCTCAAAGTCATTACTATGGAGTGGTGACCACACTGAAACATAAAACATTCTTGAGGTTGTTGATTTGCTCGTTGAGCTGGCTTGTTCTCATTCAGACGTTTCATCACCATGCTAGGTAACATCATCGTGAAGCCTCCGATGAAGCAATACTGTTTTACTCCGTTTGGAATTTATACTGTCTGGACCGTTATGGTGAGTAATGTCATTTCCGGTTTTGTTCTGTATGGGTTTGTATATGGGGTCCAATTCTATATGTTTGTTAATTGCGTTAAAGGTTGAGAACCATGCCTCTAGGAATTCCCGTGTGTGTCTATGTTTGTCTTGGGCTACTATAATTGCGTTGTCCCAGTTAAACTGATGGCCTTCATTGTCTGAGTGTACTGATATTAAGGAGCAGCTTTAAAAAGGGTTTCTGAAGAAGGGTCTAGGCCCGAAACATCTGCCTTCCTGCTCCTCTGATGCTGCTTGGCCTGCTGTGTTTATCCAGCTCTACACCTTGTTATCTCAGATTCTCCAGCATACTACCTCTGATATTGAAGAGAGTTTGTTGTGCGTTTTGCTGCTACCTGATGTTCGTGTATTCTGATGGCTAGTTTCCTTCTGTCTGTCCGATGTTATGTTTGTGGCAGTCGTTGCATGATATTTTGTAAACCATGTTAGTTCTGCATGTTGTGGGAATGGAATCTTTAATCCTTGTGAGTGTTTGTCGTAGATTGGCTGTGGACTTGTGGGCCATCGTAATTTCTAGTGGTCTCAGGAGTCTCGTTGTTGGTTCTGATATGTTCTTGATGTACAGCAGTGTGGTCAGTGTGTTAGGGCGTACTGTGTCCTCTTGTTGTTGTCTATTTAGCAGGCACCTGCAGATGAAGTTGCGGGGATATCCGTTCATAGCGAAGATTTTGTATAGGTGCTGTTCCTCTTTCCTGCGTAGTTCTGGCATGTTGCAGTGAGTGGTGGCCTGTTTAAATAGTGTCCTAACACAGTTTTGTTAGTGGATGTTGGGGTGGTTGCTTTGGAAGTGGAAGATTTGGTCAGTGTGGGTTGCTTTCCTGTATCCTGAGGTTTGGAACTCCCCATTGGTCATACGCTCAACTCTGACGTACAGAAATGGAAACTGATTGTTGTTTTCTTCTTCCCTTGTGAATTTAATCCCTGCCAATACGCTGTTGATGACGTGGTGGGTCTCTTCTAGTCTGATGTGTTTAATGATGACAAATCTGTTGTCGACGTACCGGACCCACAGTTTGGATTGAATGCTGGGGAGGGTGGTATGTTCTAGTCTTTGTAATGACTGCCTCTGTGATGAGTCCTGAGATGGGTGACCCCATGGGTGTGCCATTGATCTGTTTGTATTTATTATTATTATTTGTATTATACAAACAGATCAATGGCACACCCATGGGGTCATTCGTCTCAGGACTCATCGCAGAGGCAGTCATGCAAAGACGAGAACACACCACCCTCCCCCTCATTCAAACTAAACTGTGGGTCCGGTATGTAGACAACACGTTTGTCATTATTAAACACAACAAACTAGAAGATTCCCACCACCTCATCAACAGCATATTCACAGGGATTCAATTCACAGGGATTAAATTCACGAGAGAAGAAGAAAACAACAATCAGTTTCCGTTTCTGGACGTCAGAGTTGAGCGTATGACCAATGGGGAGTTCCAAACCTCAGGATACAGGAAAGCAACCCACACTGACCAAATCCTCAACTTCCATAGCAACCGCCCCAACGTCTACAAACAAAACTGCATTAGGACACTATTTAAACAGGCCACCACTCACTGCAACACGTCAGAACTACGCAGGAAAGAGGAACAGCACCTATACAAAATCTTCGCCATGAATGGATAATCCGCAACTTCATCTGCAGGTGCCTGCTAAATAGACAACAACAGGAGGACACAGTACGCCCTAACACACTGGCCACACTGCTCTACATCAAGAACATATCGGAACTGATAACAAGACTCCTAAGACCACTAGGAATCATGTTGGCCCACAAGCCCACAGCCACACTATGACAAATATTCACAAGGATTAAAGACCCCATTCCCACAACATGCAGAACCAACGTCGTTTACGAAATACCATACAACGACTGCCACAATCATTACATCAGATAGACAGGAAGGAAACTAGCCATCAGAATACACGAACATCAGCTAGCAGCAAAACGACACGATGAACTCTCCTTAATATCTGTATATTCAGACAATGAAGGCCATCAGTTTAACTGGGACAAGGTAACCATAGTAGCCCAAGTCAAACATAGACATGCACAGGAATTCCTAGAGGCATGGTTCTCCACCCATAATGCAATTAACAGAGATTTGGAATTGGACCCCATATACAAACCCATACAGAACAAAACTGGAAATGACGTTACTCACCATAACGGACCGGACAGTATAAATTCCAAGCGGAGTAAAACAGTATCGCTTCATCGGAGGCTTCACGATGATGTTACCTCGCATGATGATGAAACATCTGAATGAAAACAAGCCAGCTCGGCGAGCAAGTCAACAACATCACCCATTAGTCGAGCTACAAATCTTTGCTAAAACCATAAAACATTCTTAGAGGACTTGACAGGGTAAATAAGGGCAGAATGTTTCCTCCAGTTGGTCAGTCTAGGACCAGAGGCATAATCTCAGAGTAAAGGGTCACCCATTTATTCATAGGACTCCAACAATGTGGAAGCAGGCCATTCAGCCCATTGTGTCCACACCAATCCTCTGAAGAGCATCCCACCCACACCCAACTGCCCTAACCCCATATTTCCCCATGGCTAATCCCTTTAGCCTGGATATTATAGACAATTTAAAGACGGCCAATCTACATTACCTGTATATCTTTGGACTGTGGGAGGAAACCCTCACAGACACAGGGAAAACATACAAACTCCACACAGACAGTCGCCCAAGGCTGGAATCGAACCAAGGTCCCCTGTACTGTGAGGTAGAAGTGCTTACCACTGAGCCACTGAGCTGAGGAAGAGCTTCTTCTCTCAGAGGGGAGTGAATCTGCGGAATTCTTTACCACAGAGAGCTGTCGAGGCTGGGTCATTAAGGCTGAGATAGATTTTTAATCAGTAAGAGAATCAAGGGTTTTGGAGGAAGGACAGGAAAGTGGAGTTGAGGATTATCAGATCAGCCATGATCTCATTGAATGGTGGAACAGACTCGATGGGCTGAATGGCCTACTCTGCTTCTACATCTTATGCTCATATATTCAATAATTTTTGGCTGTCTAATTCTTATAATATTTTCAATTTGGAGATAGGTGACATCAGCTGGGGTCAACGGGTAACTCTCTAGCCTCTAAACAGCAAGTCCCACACTTCTAATTTGTCAATGTGTTGGGCCAACTGCGCTGACACTGTCAATGGGGGACTGAGAGAATGCTACAAACAGCCTGCTCCAGGCTCTACATTGCAAATTATTCTATTTCAGCAGTCTTTCATTGGCTGTAAAACACTTTGTGATATCTTGAGATAGTGAAAGACGATATAGCAATCTAAGTCTGTTTATTTTTTTCTCTATTGACTCTGCTTCCACTGCCCTTTCAGGCATCACATTCCAGACCACGACAACTCACTGAGCTAAAACAAAATTCTCATCTCCCTTCTGGTTCTTTGGCCAATTACTTTAAATCTGTGTGCCTCTGTTTACTGAGCCGCTTGTCACTTGAAACAGTATTTCCTTACTTACTCCATCAAAACATGTTTCTTTATACCCGCCCTTAGCCTTCTGCATTCCAAGGAGACCCCCAATCCCAGCTTCACCAGTCTCTGTGTATAACCCTCCCCCATGTTAGCACTGGGTATTATTAAGGGTAACATTGTGAAATTTTTCAAATAGCACAGACCATCACCAGTCAGCTATGGTGCGGCTGTGGCATCATTCCTCAATTTTGTTCCTTCCAGCTCCCTGATCGTCCATGATAAAAATAATCCTACACTATGTTGTGAGTAGAGTGGCATGATGCAATGTCTACATTTCATTTCTATTCATTCATGAGATGTGGGTGTCCCTAGCTGGACCAGGATGTTATTATCTGTCTCTAATTGAAGAGAGAAAGTGATGGTGAGCTGCAGTCTAGGTGGTCTAGATACACCTACAGTGCTGTTTGGAGTTGTAGCTTAGCAAGCATTAGTTCATCCACTTCTGCAGTGTGAAAGTCGTGTGTGGGATCCTTACACAGCAAGAGAGATAAATAAAATTGAAGTGATCCATGATTCTGCACGAGAAAGTGTAAACACAACAATGTCACGCCATCGATCAAAGATTCAGCATGAGAATCATTCAGAGGAAAAGAGACACAATGTTCCATAAAATTATTATCTTTATTTGTCAGTCCCTAATTGCCCTAAGTGGTCTGTAGGCTCATTTCATAGGGTAGTTAAGAGGCAACCACTTAAGTGTGGGTCTGGAGTCACATATAGGCCACAGCAGATAAGGATGGCAGATTTCCCTCCCTAAAGGATAGAATTGAAACAGGTGGGTTTTTCTAATATTGAATCGTAAGAGCAAAAGAGGTCAGAGCAGAAATAGGCCATTCAGCCCATTGAGTCTGCCCCCCCCAGTCAATGAGATTACGGCTGATCTGATAATCCTCAGCTTCATTTTCCTGCATTTTCCTTGGTTCCCTTACTGATTAAAAATCTATCTGTCTCAGCCTTGAATATGCCCAACAATACAATCTCTACAGCCCTAAACAGTAAAGAATTCCAAAGATTCACTACTCTCTGAGGGAAGAAATTCCTCCTCATCTCTGCCTTAAATATCTGATGCCTTATTCTAAGATTCTGCCCTACCTTCTCTGAACTGCCTCCAGTACCAGTCCTTAGATAAGGAGACCAAAAATGTTTGCAGCATTCCAGCTGTGGTATGACTGGTACCTTGCTTAGTTTTAGCAAGACTTCCCCATTTCTATTCTCTATTCCCTTTCAAATAAGGCCAACAATCTATTTGCCTTCCCCATTGCCCACTGAACTTGTATTCTAGCATTTTGTGATTTATGCACAAGGACTTCAAAATCTCCCCTCCCCCTACCGCATCCTAAAACCAGTCCAGCTCGTCCCTGCCTCCCTAACCTGTTCTTCCTCCCACCTATCCCCTCCTCCCACCTCAAGCCGCACCTCCATCTCCTACCGACCAACCTCATCCTGCCCCCTTGACCTGTCCGTCCTCCCTGGACTGACCTATCCCCTTCCTAACTCCCTACCTACACTCATCTTTACTGGCTCCATCCCCGCCTCTTCGACCTGTTTGTTTCCTCTCTACCTATCCTCTCCTCTATCCCTCTTCTATCCGCCTCCCACTCTCTCCCTATTTATTTCAGAACCCCCTTCCCCTCCCCCTTTTCTGATGAAGGGTCTAGGCCCGAAACGTCAGCCTCTCTGCTCCTATGATGCTGCTTGGCCTGCTGTGTTCATCCAGCCCTGCACCTTGTTGTCTCGGATTCTCCAGCATCTGCAGTTCCTACTATCTCCCACTCCCAAATCCCTCTGTGTTGTCGTGAATTGCAAATGGTTAGTATACAGGCACAGCAAGTAGGAAAGCTAATAGAATGTTATCATTTATGGCAAGGGTAATTGGATACAAACGTAGGGAGTAAACACTGAAAATGCTGGAGAAATTCAGCAAGTCTGGCAGCATCTGCAGAGAGAGAAATAGAGTTAACAGTTTGAGTCCGATATGATATCTCCAAGAGACAATTTCAGGATGTTAACCCAGTGACAATGAAGGAATGGCAATATATTTCCAAGTCAGGATGGTGAGTGGCTTGGAGGGAATTTGAAGGGGGTGGTGTTCCCATGTACCTGCTGCCCTTGTCCTTCTAGATGGATGTGGTCGTGGGTATAGAAGGTGCTGTCACATTGGTAAGTGAATTTTGTCAATGGTACACACTGTTGCCATATATTTTCTTTCAGATGTTCTTACCTTTGCACAGAACCAATGAGTGATTGTTTCCACAGGCAACCTGAATAACACACTTTCCTGCTAAGCTTCTCAGTAGCCTACATAAATAAATAAAACGGCTCATTAATGACCAAGCCAAGGGCTTCATTTCAAAGCTACATTCTACATGAATAGTATCAGCATTGAAGCTTGTATTCTAACTCATTCATTTGGCAAACCCAGTCCCATGTTCACTGGACCCTAATTAAGCAATGCCTTGATTTTAAAATTCTTATCCCTTGTGTTCAAACCTCCATGACTTCACCCCATCCCTGCATACCTGCCTGCCTGCAGTCCTACAATTCACCAAGATTCATTTTTCTTCCCTCAATTTCACCCCTGATGTCAGTCGTCACTCCGTTTGTAGCTGTACCTTCAACTGCCTGCAATCTAACTCCTGGATTTCCATCTCTTTCTCTCCATTTCTCTCTCCTCATATAGGGTACTATTTTGAATTTACCTTTCTGACCAAACACTGTCCTAATGTAGCTGTAAATAAATTCTATTTAATAATATAAGAATCATAGTAAAGATATTAAGGGACATGGGCCAAAGGCATGTCTATGGATCTCATTGAGTGGCGGAACAGGCTTGAAGGGCTGTATGATACTCCTATTCCTGTGTTCCTCTGATCCTGTAATCTCCTCGGTAGGAAGAATATGGTGAGATAAGATAAAATAAGGGCGCAATTTTAAAGAATTGAAAAAGACACCTGAGTGCATTTGTATATAACTATGAAAGGTGAGGAGAGACAAATAGAGTTAATGTTTTGATTCTGATATGACATTTCCAAGAGGAATCCAAGAATTTTGACCCAGCAACAGTGAAGGAATGGCAATATATTTCCAAGTCAGGATGGTGAGTGGCTTAGAGGGGATCTTGAAGGCGGTGGTGTTCCCACGTATTTTCAGAAGCAAAAACAAGAAGGCAGATTACTATCAGAATGGCTGTAAATGGGGAGAGGGGAGTGTGCAGCGGGACCTGGGTGTCCTTGTGCACCAGTTGCTGAAGGTAAGTATGCAGATGCAGCAGGTGGTAAAGAAGGTAAATGGTATGTTGGCCTTCATTGTGAGAGGTTTTGAGTACAGGAGCAGGGATGTGTTGTTGCATTTATACAGGGCCTTGGTGAGGCCACACCTAGAATATTGTGAGGAAGGATGCTCTTGCTCTCTAAGGAGTGCAGTAAAGGTTTACCAGGCTGATTCCGAGGATGGCGGGCCTGATGTATAAGGAGAGATTGACTCGGTTGGGATTGTTTTCACTGGAGTTCAGATGAATGAGGGTGGATTTCATAGAGACGTATAAAATTCTAACAGGGCTGGACAGGGTGGATGCAGGGAGGATGTTCCCGATGGTGGGTGCGTCCAGGACAAGGGGTCACAGACTGAGGATTCAGGGTAGACCATTTAGGACGGAGATGAGGAGACATTTCTTCACCCAAAGAGTAGTGATCGTGTGGAATTCATTACCACAGGAAGTAGTTGATACCAAAACATTGAATGTATTCAAGAGGTGGCTAGAAATAGCACTTGGGGCGAATAGGATCAAAGGTTATGGGGAGGAAGCAGGATTAGGCTATTGAGTTGGATGATCAGCCATGGTCGTGAAGAATGGTGGAGCAGGCTCGATGGGCCGAATGTCCTCCTCCTGCTCCTATCTTCTATATTTCTATGTGAAAGGCAGGTGGAAAGAGCAGCTATGTATACATTATTCTATACTTAATTGACAGGGATGTAGAATACAGGGGCAGGGATGTGTTTTTTTTTTAATAATTCATTCACAGGACAAGGGCGTTGCTAGCTAGGCCAGTATTTATTGCCCATTCCTAATTGCCCCATTGCTGTGTGTCTGGAGTCCCAACAATAGATTTATGGTCATCACTTTAATTTCAGATTTTTATTGAATTCAAATTCCACAATCAGCCATGGTGGGATTCAAGCCTGGGTCCCCAGGACATTACCTGGGTCTCTGGATTGACAATCCAGCAATAATACCAGCAGGCCACTGTCTACCACTAGGCCACTGCCTACCACTAGGCCACTGCCTCCCCTTGTTGAAGATATACAAGAATATATAGATTATATGTGCTAAACTTATACAAGACACTATATGATATATATGCTGAATTTATACAAGATACTAGTTAGAGCATAATAACAATGTGGTGATGCTGTGTGAACCCCTTTGGAATGTTTCACTACATTTTGCAAGGAAAACCCATGTGTACAACAGACGCTGAATTATCTTCCTCTGTGTAATTGGCTGTATCAATCTGTGATTATAATGAAAATCTGTCTGACATATTTCTGTAGGTGTTCCTAATTGGTGCTGTTGCATTGTCTTTTTAAGATTATAGAAGGTATGTTAGGAACTGGAGGAGGGCATTCTGAGCCTATCCTCCTGTCATTCAATGAGATCAGGTAGCTCTGAAAGTGAACTCTACTACTGTGGGTCTGGAGTCACATGTGAGCCAGCCCAGGTAAGGACTGCAGCTTCCTTCCATAAAGGGAATTTATGAATGATCAACAACAATTTCTTGGTCATCATTAGACTCTTACTTCCAGATTTTTAAAAATTGAAATGAATTCCATCATCTGCCGGGGTGGGATTTCAACCAAGGTTCCTAGGACATCACGTTGGTCTCTGGATTATTACTACTAGGCCATCACCTTCCCCTTTCGTTAACCTTTAGGTGTACGGCCTTGGTACAGGCAAAAAAATGACAATGGAGTGGTAATATCACTGGGCAAGGTGCTCAGAGACACAGGCTCATGTTTTGGGGACTTGGGTTCACATGACATCTGATGGAATTTAACCACAATTAATAAAACTAGCCTTAGTAATTGTGACCATGAAACTATCATTGACTGTTGTAAAATCTGATTCAGGAATTCCCTTTAGGGAAGGAAATCTGCCATCCCTATCCAGTCTGGTCTACATGTGACTCCAGATCCACAGCAATATGGTTGACACTTAGTTGCCCTCCAGTGAGACACTCAGGGCTATTAGGAACCAACAACAAACACTGACATTGCCAAAGACATTGAGATCCCATCAAAGAAAACTCTGCCAACAGCTTTTTAATGATGTTTGAACTAAACCTCAATCTTTAGCTTTTCACCTTTTCAGAGATTCACAGGTCTATCCATTTGAGGTTCAATGTGGATGGATTAATCTCATTTTCCTACATTGAAATCTTTGACTCAAGATGAAATCCTATTTAATTTCCTTTTGCCAAAACAAAAAGGGAGCATTTTGTACTCTTGCTAAAACTACCAGGCACAGGAAGGGAAGCAGAGACCTTTAAATGGAATAAAACTCAGAGCAAGGGAAGGCTACTCAGCTCATTATACCCAGAATTTTCTGTGATGATCCTCCCCTGACCTGCCCTCCTGAAACACAGCCTGATTCAGGGCGGGGAAAAAAGACCGAGTATTGTTCAGACACAAGACTCATTGTCTCCTACACATAACATGATTCTTACTGTGGCTCTGTGATTTTGAAAGGTTTCATGAAACTTCTGTGCTTCTTGTTTTGTAGTTTGCTGAAAAACACATCCCCTCCTTCAGAAACATAGAGAATGTGTGCTGTTCCACTGTCCATGCAGTGAATCTTCAGCTCTTCCAACCCATTAATCAGCTCTGCGCAGAAAAGAAGGGAAAAAGAAATAAGGACAACAGGGAATGGAACACTGAACAGGCCTGAGATTCATTTGATTTGGACGGGGATGTAAGAAAAGACTTAAATATCTCCTCAAACTGTAGTTAACACTGACCTTTAGCTTTCCCTGATAAAGGATCTCTGTTAAAAGAATGAAAGTTTAGTCATTATGTCATTTTTTAATTAGTTCACTGAAGAATGGTCAGGTTAAATCATGAACACGATAAAAAGACATTCCAGTAATTAAATTACAGCAGGGTTGACCAGAGAGCACATCTGTGAAAAACGACATCCCTTTCAGAAGGAGAAGGTCACTGCAGGGAAAGAAGGTGTTAAAACTGACGTTGGTGCAAAGCCACAATCTCACGGCTCAACTCCCGTTGTTCGGGGGCCTTGAGAAATCAACAGTCTGAGAAAGAGCAATACAGCTGTGTCTTCACCTCACAGAGGCACACGTCAAAATGTCAAGTTCGCAGAACCATCTATCTCGTAGAGTCACTGGTCCATGCATCGAACCAGCAATTGTTGAGTGATGTCCCACTACTTCACTGATCTACTCAGCCTGGTTGGTCTCTGGTTGAGCCAACCCAAAACTACACAGCCCACCTTCTCTTGACTCCTATGTACACCTGTATATCACCAATATGTCCAATATCTCACCCCTGAGTTCACTCATCCACAGCGGTTCTCATTTGGACAACTCAGTTCTAAATTTGTCATCCTTGTTTTCAGATCCCTGCATAGCTTCATCCTCTCTCTCTCTCTCTTTGTAACCTCCACCAGCCCAGTGACTCTCCAATCTGCTCCTCCATTTGTGGATTCCTGTGCATCCTTAATTTTTATCCCTCCACCATTGATGGCTGTGGCTTCAGCTACTGAGGTTCAAAACTCTGAAATTCCCTCTCAAAACATCACTACGAGGCTGTGTCTTTCCCTTAAGAAACAAGTTAAAACCTTCTTGATCAAGTTTGGTCTAATATCTCCTTTAGTATCAATACTTCCTCTGCTGTGAAGTATCTACAGATGTTATACTATTAAAGGTGCTATATGAATGCAAGTGAATGTTGTTACAGAGTGAGCTCCTTTCATTTGTATCTAATTCCTACACCCATCATCCACTGCACCTTGACCACAGATAAATACAGAAAAATACTTTTGAAACTGGATTAAAGTGTTTATAATGTGTTCTCAAAGGCCTGAAAAAGAACCGTTTGTAGAGCAGTGGAGTGGGATTAATTGGATAGGTATTTCAAAGAGGTAGCATTGGTAGAGGATGGTCTGTATGGTCTCCTGTATATTTTACTATTCTATGATTTTAAAATGCATTCAACTACCTTGAAATATACATAACGCTATAAATCAAACCTGACACACCAACCCTTATCAATTGTCCCACAGCACTCTCTGCCCATGCCATATGAAATCATTGAATATTTTTAAAGACTGAGTGGTGAAAGAGAGTCCAAGGGCATGGAGAAGGTGAACACAAAAGTTGAGGCCATAACCAGATCATCCATATCCTGGAGTGTTCAGTAACTTCTCCCTGTGTGTTCTTCCTCTTAGCCTTACTGGCTTCAGTCTCGGGCTCCTCCTCAGTCATTTTACTTGCCGACCTACAGCTCTGGTTTCCCACTCCCCTGCCACACTAATTTAAACCCTCCTGAGTGGCACTAGCAACCCTCCCTGCCAGGATATTAGTGCCTCTCCAGTTTAGGTGCAACCTGTCCTTCTTATACAGGTCCCATCTGCCCTGGAAGGCATCCCAGTGATCCACATATCTGAAGCCCTCCCTCCTACACTAACTCGTTAGCCACATACCTAACTGTAACATCTTCCTATTCCTAGCCTCACTGGCACATTGTACAGGGAGTAATCCCCAGATCACAATCCTAGAGGTCCTGCTTTTCAACTTCCTATCTAACTCCCTGAATTCCCTTTGCAGGACCTCATCTTTCTTCCTGCCTATATCATTCTACCACAACAATGTGTACCACAACTTCTGGCTGCTCACCCTCCCTTTTGAGAATGTCCTGTGCCCGCTCAGAGATATCATTGACCCTGACTGCAGGAAGGCAACACACCATCCCAGAGTCTGTTTGCAGCCAGAGAACTGTTTATCTGTGCCCCTGACTATAGAGGCCCCCATTATTACTGCTCTACTGCACTCTGTCTCTCCCTCTTGTACAACAGAGCTAGCTGTGATTCCATCGCTCTGGCTGCTGTCACCATCCCCCGACAGACAATCCCTCCTCAGACCGGTGTCCTTGTTAAAGAGGGGATAGCCACAGGGGACCCTGCACTGACTGCCTGCCCCTTCTAGTGGTCACCCATTCGTCTGCCTGAACCTTTGGTGTGACAACGTCTCCGAACCTTCCATCCAGACCGTCAGTTTTGAACTTGTGATGTGCAGCTGTTACCCAGTCCTGATGAAGGGTTTCAGCCCGAACCATTGACTTTCCTGTTCCCCGGATGCTGTCTGACCTGCTGTGCTTTTCCAGCTCCAAATTATTGACTCCCACCCCATATCAGAGATCAAGATCCCATTCCAATTTATGATTTTATTTCCAAGAATCTATTTAATTCTCATTCTACTGAATATATTTCCATCACCTTTTCAGAATCATTGCATTATCTCCCTCTTGCTGTTTTACCGTAAATCCATCTCCTCTGGCTACCCATTCTCCTGTCAGTGGAAATAATTTCTCCTTATTCACTCTATCAAAACACTTCATGATTTTGAATCCTCTCTGTTAACCTTCTTTGCTCCAAGGAAAGCAATCCCAGTATTTCTAGCGTCTATACCCCTCTCCCTGGTACCATTCTATATGGCACTTGCTTTGTAGAATCATAGAATGTTATAGCACAGAATGAGGCCATTCAACCCATCGATTCTGTACCAGTTCCGGAAATAGATACCCAGCTAGCCTCACTCTGCAGCCCTATCTCCGTAACCCTCTAACTTTATCACTTTCAAATATATCTCCAGCTCTCTTTTGAAACCTCCTATGGAATCCGCCTCCACCACTCTTCCAGGCAGCACATTCCAAATCCTAATGACTCTCTGAGTAAAGAAGCTTCTACTCATTTCACTCCTCGCTCTCTTGCTGACATTCTTGAAAATGTGACCCCAATTACTGACACACCAACTACTGGAAGCAAAATATCCTTCTTTATCCTGTCAAAATTGTTCATAATTTTGAACACCCCAATAATGTCACCACTTAATCTTCTCTACTCCAAGGAGAATAAGCCCAATTTCTCTAACCTCTCCTAGTATCTAAAATCCCTCTTTCCTGGTATCAGTTTAGTAAATCATTTGCACTCTCTCCAGAGCTTTAACATCTTTCCCTAAATAAGGTGCCCTGAACTGAACACAATACTCCAAATGTAGTCTGACCAATGATTGTAGAGGTGTAGCATCACTCCTTCACTTTATTCTTTTTTTATTATTCATTCATGGGATGAGGGGCATCGCTGGCTAGGCCAGCATTTATTGCCCATCCCTAATTGCCCAGAGGGTAGTTGAGAGTCAACCACATTGCTGTGGGTCTGGAGTCACATGTAGGCCAGACCAGGTAAGGATGGCAGTTTCCTTCCCTAAAGGTCATCAGTGAACCAGATGGGATTTTTTGACAATTGAGAATGGATTCAAGGTCATCATTAGATTCTTAAATCCAGATATTTATTCAGTTCAAATGCTACCATCTGCCATGGCAGGATTTGAACCCAGGTCCCCAGAACATTACCTGGGTCTCTGGATTAACAGTCTAGCGATAATACCACTGGACCATTGCCTCCCCTGCATGTAAATATAGGCATAAATAGGCCTATATTTACAAACCCAAGGATCCTATCAGTCTTCGTCACAATGCTGATCAATTTCAAAATGCTATTTTGGGAGCCAAAGTTAAAATAATGAAACAATGACAGGTATATTCAAAGAAAATCATTTAATATGTGAATATAAAAATGATTTTTTTAAAGCTTTAATTTATTTGTACGATATGGGTGTCATTGGCTAGCCCACAAGTATCGCCTGACCTTAATTGCCCAGAGGGTAGGTTAGAGTCAATCACGTTGCTGTGGGTCTGGAGTCACATGTACAACCAGACCAGGTAAGGATGGCAGACTTTCTTTCCTAAAGGACATTAGTGAACCAGATGGGCTTTTTTTTTGACAATTGACAATGGTTTCAACAGTTCCTGAGTTCCGAATAAGGTCTAATTTTGCATGCGTTCCTAAGTCGATTTGTTCACAAGTTGAAACACAATGCAGGACAATATAAAACAGCTGTTCATAAGTATGAGGAAATGTATGCATGTCAGATCTTTAAAATTAATATTAATACACCTCTGTATGGGATATCATTCTCATTAGGGGAGGTTATGGCCTAATGGTGTCGCTGGGCTGATAATCCAGAGACCCAGGTAATATTCTGGAGACCTGGGTTCAAATCCCACCATGACAGATGGTGGAATTTGAATTCAATATAAAATAAAAATTGGGGATCAAGAGTCCAGTGATGAAAATGAAATCATTAATGATTGTCAGGAAAAGCTCACGTGGTTCACTAATGTCCTTTAGGGAAGGAAACTGCCATCTTCACCACTTCTGGTCTACATGTGATTCCAGGCCCATAGCTACGTGGTTGACTCAACTGGTGTTGGTGCAATTAGGGATGGATAATAAATACTGGGTAACACCCTCATCCTGTGAATGAATAAAAAATATTTGTAAATCTGCAAGCCCTGTATGTGGTCGCCATTAGGCTAGCTTTTAATTCCAGATTTTTATTGAATTCAAATTTCACCACAATCCCTGGGGTGGGGGAAGGGTCTTGAACTCAAGCTCACTTTCCTGTCACCAAATATTAACCAAGGGTTCTGGACTCCTAGTCCAGTGACTTTACCACTACACCTCCCCTAATTTAAAACACAGAAGTCAACATTTCACTGAGATAGCAAGAACTGCTGATGCTGGAGTCAGAGATAACACAGCATGGAGCTGGAGGAACACAGCAGGCCAGGCAGCATCAAAGGAGCAAGAAAGCTGGCGTTTCCTGATTGCACAGAATTTGCACAAGTGATAAACCCAAAAATAAAATTATCGGCACATCTTGAAGTGTTATCACTTTGTAATTCAGATTGATATAGTCAGCTGCCTTTTTCAAGCAGTGACGTTTCCACTTAGCAGCAGACTTCCCTTCACAGAATTGAAAGTGAAAGTGAATCTGAAGACAGGGAGGAAATCGAAACTCAAAACTCAAAATCGAATCAGAGATAGTAGGAACTGCAGATGCTGGAGAATCTGAGATAACAAGGTGTAGAGCTGGATGAACACAGCAGGACAAGCAGCATCA